CCTTTCCTAACCTTGATCATTCCTAACAGATCTACGTGACTCGACAAAGCTGTATATCTTGGAGGGGAGCAACTGGCCCAACAAACTGCTTTCGAATCATCCACAAACAGAATGGATGGGCTGCGTTCTCCCTAAACACTGTTAATCTTAAGGCTGATCTGAATCTGGTATGTTGATGATGGATAAATTATATATTTGGGAAATAAAGTAAAAAAAAAAAAAAAAACAGGAAAATAAATAAAGTAGTGTTTAAAGTCTAGTGTCTTTTTTTGTGTGTAATGGTCTTTTTGTGTGTTTTTAATGGTCTAGTTACTGAATGTGGTGTTTGAGGTTTTTTCATATAAAGGGTTTTTCTTTAGGTTTTTTTGAGATTTTTTATTGAGAAGAGAAGTTGCTCATAAAAACCTGGAAAGAGAAGTTGCTCAAAAAAAAGCTGAGAAGAGAAAGTTCTCAAAAAAGCTGAGAAGAGAAGATTGATGCTTCTCTTAATGTAGAGTGTGTTTTAATGGTCTAATAACTGAATGTATTTTTTTTTTTTTTAGATTTTTCCTTTAAAGGTTTTTTTGAGGGTTTTTTTGAGAACAGAAGCTTCTGTTTGTGTAAAATGTGTTTCAATGGTCTAATAACTGAATGTGGTGTTTGAAGGTTTTTTTTTAGGGATTTTTTTTTTAGTTTTTTTTTGGGTTATTTTTAGGTTTTTTTTATTTATTTATTTTTTTGTCTTTTTTTGAGTTTGTTTTTTTAGGTGTTTTTTTTAGAAGAGAATCTTCTCTTAGTGTTGAATGTGTTTTAATAGTCAAGTTGCTGAATATGTTTTTTTTTTTTGTTTTTTTTATTTTTTTTTTGCCTTTTTTGAGTTTGTTTTTTTAGGGGTTTTTTTTAGAAGAGAAGCTTCTCTTAGTGTAGAATGTGTTTTAATAGTCAAGTTGCTGAATATGTTTTTTTTTTGTTTTTTTTTTAGTTTTTTTTAGGTTTTTTTTAGTTTTTTATTTTTTTTTGCCTTTTTTTGAGTTTGTTTTTTTTAGAAGAGAAGCTTCTCTTAGTGTAGAATGTGTTTTAATAGTCAAGTTTTTTTTTGAGGGTTTTTTTTTTTGAGGGGTTTTTTTTTTGAGAAGAGAGGACTGATGCTTCTCTTATTGGTAGAGCTTAGGACTGATGCTTCAACACGTCAAGCACATACAGCTTAAGACTCAAGACTCAACTGTCATCTATTATTATAGAGCTTAAGACTCAACCGTCATCTATTATTATAGAGCTTAAGACTCAAGACTCAACCGACATCTATTTTTATAGCGCTTAAGACTCAACATCATCTATTTTTATAGAGCTTAAGACTCAAGACTCTTGACATCTATTTTTATAGAGCTTAAGACTCAACATCATCTATTTTTATAGAGCTTAAGACTCTTGACATCTATTTTTATAGAGCTTAAGACTCAACCGACATCTATTTTTATAGAGCTTAAGACTCAAGACTCTTGACATCATTTTTTTATAGAGCTTAAGACTCAACATCATCTATTTTTATAGAGCTTAAGACTCTTGACATCTATTTTTATAGAGCTTAAGACTCTTGACATCTATTTTTATAGAGCTTAAGACTCAACCGACATCTATTTTTATAGAGCTTAAGACTCAAGACTCTTGACATCTATTTTTATAGAGCTTAAGACTCTTGACATCTATTTTTATAGAGCTTAAGACTCAAGACTCTTGACATCTATTTTTATAGAGCTTAAGACTCAAGACTCTTGACATCTATTTTTATAGAGCTTAAGACTCAAGACTCTTGACATCTATTTTTATAGAGCTTAAGACTCAAGACTCTTGACATCCAAGTAAGTATCCAAGTACTTATCCAAGTGTTTAAAGTATCCAAGTAAGCATCCAAGTGTTTAAAGTATCCAAGTAATTATAAGTATCCAAGTAATTGTCCAAGTGTTTAAAGTATCCAATTAAGAAATATCCAATTAAGTAATATCCAATTAAGTAATTAGGTAAGTGTCCAATTAAGTAATATCCAATTAAGTTCCAATTAAGTAATATCCAAGTAATTATCCAATTATATTATTATATTATTAAACGTCGCGAAAATTAATGTTTAAGCAGTATAACCGCAGCGACCGGGGTTCCGAAACCTCGGGGGGGGACACACACACACTACCCCCCCCTTTGGTCTTTTGGGTGTGCAGACTCGTCGGGACCGGTTGATTCCTCTTGGCTCCCTCTGGTTGCTGGTCCTGACCCGGGATTGAACCATTAACCTTTGGAAGGCGAAACGAGGCCTCATCCACTACGCCACCAGAGCCTGCACACTTCTAACACTTCTCTTCGTACGTTTATCTTTCGAAACGGAGTCTAAACGCACAAACGCAACAAGAAGCTGGAATAGAACCAGCAACCTCTCGCTTCAGAGCCGGTTCCGCTACCACTGCACCACTGAAGATGACACGGTTCTGACACTTCTCTTCGTACGTTTATCTTTCGAAACGGAGCCTAAACGCAACAAGAAGCTGGAATAGAACCGGCAACCTCTCGCTTCAGAGCCAGTACCGCTATACCACTGCACCACTGAAGACGAGACAGTTCTAATACTTCTCTTCGTACGTTTATCTTTATGGAGGAATTTTAACAGTGTTTAAGTGTTTTTTTTTTTTTTTTTTTTTTTTTGGAAGACGGCACGCTTCTGAAACCAACTCGGCACGCTGACTTTCAACCGTCAGAACCGTGCCGTCTTCAGAGGCTCAGTGGTAGCGGAGATACTTCTCTTCGTACGTTTATCTTCCGAAGCGGAGTCTAAACGCAACAAGAAGTTGGAATAGAACCCTTAACCACTCGCTTCGGAACCGGTACCGCTACCACTGAGCCACTGAAGATGACACGGTTCTGACACTTCTCTTCATATGTTTATCTTTATGGAGGAATCTTAACAGTGTTTTAGGAGTTCAAATATGGAGTGATTAATCACATGACAATTAGGACTCAGGTGAATGGCTCAATGTTCTGGAACCATGTGACCATGAAGTAAAGATGGCTGAAACCAGGCCATGCGCTTCCAAAGCAGCATGTGGAGCTTGAGATGAATGTGAATCCTGAGTTAGTGTTTGATAAAGATATCAGGTCTGATTGGTTTTTAACCAAAACTCCTAAGCAGAAAAAACTAGCTCAGTCTAAACAAGTGCTAGTTGACTTAAAACATAAATCTGTTGAACATCCCTAACCCTTCTGAACATCTTCAAACAAGGTAATGCTGTTTGTTTTTGTGAATATATATATATGAACGATTAGTTGAAGTCAGTGCTGGGTAGTAACTGATTACATGTAATTTAATTACCTAATAAATTGTGCTTTAAAAAAACAATCAGACTATAGCTACTTTTAAAATTGATTCTCAGAGTTTGATTTACAGAAATAACTGGTATTTTCTCAACATTACAGCTCCTGACGAACATAATTAATCTTTTTTTTCAGTAATCCTCTTTCGATGTAATTTATTTGCTTGAAGTTGCCCTGAAATTTTAAGAAGCTCATAAGTCAATAATTTAACATTAGCATGTTCATCTTTCTCTGATGTCATATAATGCAAGTAAAGAAAGCATTGCATCATTATTAAGTGTTTTAGATGGTTTTAAATTTCTTTAACTTTTTTATTGAACTAACTATTAATTTTTCATGAACTTAGACACTCCCTGAAATTCCTTCACAAACCCTGGTTTGGGAAACCCTAACATCAGGTAATAGGACAAAATTTGGTATGGTATTATCTTCAAATATTCAAATCTAAGTGTTTAGAAGTTAGTGGGATCTCGAAACCATATGCTTCGCATTAGAAGCTTGTGAACGCAGGCTGGCTCTCCGCCGACTAAAGCAGAGCCGTGGAGAGCCGCTTCGACATGCTTTCATTGTTTTAATTTCATCATTTGAGCTGAAATGACGGGTTGGGGGGGTTTATGTCGTCCAGATTTGCTTCCCCTGGTCTCTTACGGCAGAAATACGTTCTTCTCTCGCACAAAAACTGAATTTCAAACCAAATATGTAAAATTCCACGAAATTCCGCGTTAACACTAGATTCCACGATAATTGGCCAAGTGGACCAGGTCAATGATGTCATGATCTACAGGGCTGTGATGTCGTGCCGTTTGTGTGTGTGAGGCCGGACGCCCCACCGTGAGTCCAGGGAGCCGATGGTCTCCTCAAAGAACAGAAAACACTCCCTTTCCTCGAGACTGAGGAACTGCAGATCATCTTCCTAGAGAGAGAGAAAGTTAAAGCAAACATTGAATGACTGCTAGTTGGCACTATAATATTATATTAAAATCTATAATATTAAAATAAAAAAAGCAAATGTTACATAAATGTATCTTTTTAGGACGATGTTTTTTTTTGTTTTTTTGTTTTTTTTTGCGTTATGGCTTTAATGATAAACACATGTCGTTTTAATTACCGTAATCAAAATGTCAAGTTAAACTCGGTACAAATAAATACTACAGTGAGATACGTAGTTTTCAAATTGACATAATGTATGACTTCATGAATGTCATGTAAATAATAATGATAATCATATTCAAACAGTGGTGGAATGTAACGAAGTACAAATACTTTGTTACTTTACTTAAGTACATTTTTCACGTGTCTTTACTTTACTTAAGTAGAATAAATAGCGCATACTTTTTACTTTTACTTTGTTACATTTTGCAGCAATTATTATACTTTCTACTCCACTAAATTTCTACACCTTCTGTTACATTTTCATTACATTTGCTGATCAGTTTTTCCCCTGCCAAAACGTAATCTGGCCGTCCGTCCGTTGCACCTTTGTCTCCATTTTTGCACTCAGGTTTAAGTCCCATGACCCTCTATCAGAATCAAGAGTTTCAAGAAGATTGGAGAAACTTATTTTTTCGCACAAAAAAAAAAAAAAAAAAAAAAACGACAGGGGTAACACTGTCTTTTTTTTTTTTTTTTTTTGGTGGAAATTTTGAGTTTCTCTGATCTTCTTGAAACTCTTGATTCTGATAGAGGGCCATGGGACTTAAACTTACCTGAGTGCAAAAATGGAGGCTCTAGATATATCAACCCGGTCACATTAAATGCGTCTCGCACGCAGTGCGTTCATAGAGCAATTTATACGCGAAAATTATTTTTTACATGCATTGGAAACGCACCGTGTGTAATAAACGTTTGGTTAGGATTATGGCAAGCCAAGAGGTTCAGAATTACACCATAAATTAATCGTGTTTACTGCCATAGTTATTAACATATAGTAAGGATAAGCAGCATGATGTGAATCTCATGCCTAATTGCAAGCTTGTTTCAGAAATGGTGACTTTTTTTTCCATCATTATTGAACATCATTATAGGAGTATTAGGTTGAATGAGTTAGAATTAAATGTTTTATTAATCATTAGCAAATAGACATTAAGAAAATAAATTATGCAAGTACTTTTACTTTTAATACTTAAAGTACATTTAAAATCAGGTAGGCCTACTTTTTACTTTTTACTTAAGTATGGTTGTCATCGTGTCACTTCTACTTTTACTAAAGTAAATATTTATCTGGTTATTTGTAATTTTACTTAAGTACTGAGATTCAGTACTTCCTCCACCACTGTATTCAAATAAATTTCTTTGCGGTGAAATAATGACCTGTGTCCGTTTTGAATGAGATTCGCCCAAACACACACGAGTCTAAGATGAGGAAAAGACTTTTAAGAGGGGGAAAAAACTTTAACTTACCAAAACATCCTGAACCATCTGACCAGAGGGCGATTCATTCAAAGAATAAAAAAAGGTAGCAACGCTACAATAGCAACTGACAAAAAGTAAAAGTTGTCATGCTAAAGTAAAAGTTACTTACAGGTGAGTCTTGTGCCGTACTCGGTCCCCTCATTTATGTGTCGGTTTTATTTGCGGTTGAGCTGTAATATGTGCTGTTAAAGTGACATTAAGAGCTGTCATCTTCTCATCTGCAGGATCTGCACGTGTTGTTGTGATTGTCCAGAGCCCGTCTAACGGAGAGCCTTGGCACTTCCTATTAGCCCCGTTGTGTATCATCCTGGTTGCAGTTCCATTAGAATTCCACTGGAGGTGATCGCGGGCGAGAGCAGAATGAATGGGAGTCTATGGGGCTAAACGGCTAAAAGTGTCTCTTTCACCTGCTTGTCGTTAAATTAACATAGATTTTATTGTTGATTACGCAAGTTCAATATTGATTATAGGCCAAAAGTCGAATGAACGAGTACTTATGTCCTTTTGATATCTTACAGGTTAGGCTGTTGTTGGCTGGAACACGCTACCATTCTGCTATTGTGTGACGTCATCACATTTTTGAACTGATTTTTAGAACAGATAAGTGAACTTAAAAATGCAATTTTCAGCTGAGTGTATTATCTTAGCCCTCCCTTTTGAATGCAACTTTCAAATTACTTGACAAAAAATTACATCCCGAGAAAAGTGGATTTATGGGGGTGAAACCCCATTGACTCCCATTCATTCTGCACTCGACCGCGAGCGCCCCCGCATGGACAGAGACGAGTTACTGCAGCCAGTCCATGTTGTCAAGCAGCAGAAGCGTCAGACTGAAGGAGAACCCGCTTCTGCCGCCTTGAGGAGCGGAGGAAAACTGCACTTTACTCTCGTCGGGTTATAGTGGCGTGAATGGTGATCACATCTGAGACTTTGGATTAAAGTTCCTGTAAAATTGCAGCAGCAACATGTTTGACAAGCTCTGTGGTGCAGAAAATTATGATTTGCCTTTGAATGAGAGAGCCTTTTTGATTCACAAAAATCATCACTTTTCTTTTAGTTTCTATGTAATTCACACAAATCACCACAGGAGGGCGAAAATAATTTTAGATATGACTTTTTTGCACATACATTAGATTAGATAGAGTAGATAGGAGTACAACACAGTTCACAACACACACACTGATACAGTTGATACAAAGAATAACTTAAATGATAATACATTTATTTTAAAGTTTGTTTAGAGAATACATCAGTTTGCAAATTTTAATGTCAAATAGTAATTCACACATGACTCTTATAGATTCACATTCCTTCTGTAAGGAAAGACATGAAAAAAAAATATTTGTTTTAGAAATACTCTTTATTCTACATCTATACATGAGAATGTAAAAAAGTTAGTCTAAAGACTAGTTAATAGAAGGAATTGGAAATAGAATAAATTAAAAGTATAAAGCTGTACAGTCTGAAAATACAGTTCAGTAAGGCTGTATCAGTAATGATCTTTCAATAATACTCTTCTAATTCAATTCAAATTAAGATGATACATTCCTTCAAAAACATTATCTGGATGATTATTTATTTATTCACTTTTTATTCATAAGTATGCAGTGTCATAACTACATCTCTGACGTTTATAACAAAACAAACCGTTTGAAAATCGGTAGAAAATTGAGCAAGTTATGGTCATTTAAATAGTACACGCACCATTAACACAATGTTACGAGTGAGCGAGCTGCCTGTGACAAGATGGCCGCCAGGTGCAGACGTAGACCTCCATTGGCCAGCAGCGTGGACGACATATCTATAGCCTTTATAGACCATTTCACAAGATGTAAACAACACTGGTCCAGAAGCACTTCCTGTTTCAGTTTTTTAACACTACATAAAGCTGGGATAAAATACAACCAACAGAACATTTAAAACTGAATCAAAACGTTAAACAAACATCTTTAAGATGTTTCCTTTACATGTGAAATAAAGAAAACAGTTACAAACTGAAACAGGAAGTGCTTCTGGACCAGTGTTGTTTACATCTTGTGAAATGGTCTATATAGATATCTATGGGTAAGATGGCTTCTAAAACCATTCCAGCAGCTGATTGGTGGTTCAACGGCTGATTGGATCTTGGAGCTCCTCCTACTCGTCAGTGGCAGTGGTATTTTTATAGAGCTTAAGACTCAAGACTCTTGACATCTATTTTTATAGAGCTTTTATAGAGCTTAAGACTCAACATCATCTATTTTTATAGAGCTTAAGACTCAACATCATCTATTTTTATAGAGCTTAAGACTCAACATCATCTATTTTTATAGAGCTTAAGACTCAACCGACTTCTATTTTTATAGAGCTTAAGACTCAACCGACTTCTATTTTTATAGAGCTTAAGACTCAACCGACTTCTATTTTTATAGAGCTTAAGACTCAAGACTCTTGACATCTATTTTTATAGAGCTTAAGACTCAACATCATCTATTTTTATAGAGCTTAAGACTCAAGACTCTTGACATCTATTTTTATAGAGCTTAAGACTCAAGACTCAACCGACTTCTATTTTAATAGAGCTTAAGACTCAACATCATCTATTTTTATAGAGCTTAAGACTCAACCGACTTCTATTTTTATAGAGCTTAAGACTCAAGTCTCTTGACATCTATTTTTATAGAGCTTTTATAGAGCTTAAGACTCAACATCATCTATTTTTTATAGAGCTTAAGACTCAACATCATCTATTTTATAGAGCTTAAGACTCAACATCATCTATTTTTATAGAGCTTAAGACTCAACCGACTTCTATTTTTATAGAGCTTAAGACTCAACCGACTTCTATTTTTATAGAGCTTAAGACTCAAGACTCTTGACATCTATTTTTATAGAGCTTAAGACTCAACCGACTTCTATTTTTATAGAGCTTAAGACTCAAGACTCTTGACATCTATTTTTATAGAGCTTAAGACTCAAGACTCAACCGACTTCTATTTTAATAGAGCTTAAGACTCAAGACTCTTGACATCTATTTTTATAGAGCTTAAGACTCGAGACTCAACCGACTTCTATTTTAATAGAGCTTAAGACTCAACATCATCTATTTTTATAGAGCTTAAGACTCAACCGACTTCTATTTTTATAGAGCTTAAGACTCAAGTCTCTTGACATCTATTTTTATAGAGCTTTTATAGAGCTTAAGACTCAACATCATCTATTTTTATAGAGCTTAAGACTCAACATCATCTATTTTTATAGAGCTTAAGACTCAACATCATCTATTTTTATAGAGCTTAAGACTCAAGACTCTTGACATCTATTTTTATAGAGCTTAAGACTCAAGACTCAACCGACTTCTATTTTAATAGAGCTTAAGACTCAAGACTCTTGACATCTATTTTTATAGAGCTTAAGACTCAAGACTCAACCGACTTCTATTTTTATAGAGCTTAAGACTCAACATCATCTATTTTTATAGAGCTTAAGACTCAACCGACTTCTATTTTTATAGAGCTTAAGACTCAAGACTCTTGACATCTATTTTTATAGAGCTTAAGACTCAAGACTCAACCGACTTCTATTTTTATAGAGCTTAAGACTCAACCGACTTCTATTTTTATAGAGCTTAAGACTCAACCGACTTCTATTTTTATAGAGCTTAAGACTCAACCGACTTCTATTTTTATAGAGCTTAAGACTCAACATAATCTATTTTTATAGAGCTTAAGACTCAACCGACATCTATTTTTATAGAGCTTAAGACTCAAGACTCTTGACATCTATTTTTATAGAGCTTAAGACTCAAGACTCAACCGACTTCTATTTTTATAGAGCTTAAGACTCAACATCATCTATTTTTATAGAGCTTAAGACTCAAGACTCAACCGACTTCTATTTTTATAGAGCTTAAGACTCAAGACTCAACCGACTTCTATTTTTATAGAGCTTAAGACTCAACCGACTTCTTTTTTAATAGAGCTTAAGACTCAAGACTCAACCGACATCTATTTTTATAGAGCTTAAGAGTAAGTATCCAAGTATCCAAGTTTTTAAAGTATCCAAGTAATTGGATACCACAGCTCTGGCTGTTTTTTTCATATGTTTATCTTTATGGAGGAATCTTAACAGTGTTTTAGGAGTTCAAATATGGAGTGATTAATCACATGACAATTAGGACTCAGGTGAATGGCTCAATGTTCTGGAACCATGTGACCATGAAGTAAAGATGGCTGAAACCAGGCCATGCGCTTCCAAAGCAGCATGTGGAGCTTGAGATGAATGTGAATCCTGAGTTAGTGTTTGATAAAGATATCAGGTCTGATTGGTTTTTAACCAAAACTCCTAAGCAGAAAAAACAAGCTCAGTCTAAACAAGTGCTAGTTGACTTAAAACATAAATCTGTTGAACATCCCTAACCCTTCTGAACATCTTCAAACAAGGTAATGCTGTTTGTTTTTGTGAATATATATATATATGAACGATTAGTTGAAGTCAGTGCTGGGTAGTAACTGATTACATGTAATTTAAAGGGTTAGTTCACACAAAAATGAAAATTAAGTCATTAATTACTCACCCCCATGCTGTACCAACCCCGTAAGACCTTCGTTCGTCTTCGGAACACAAATGAAGATATTTTTGATTAAATTTGAGAGCTGTATAACTACCACATTGGCTCCTAAGGGACTGCCTCTTGACGGCCCAGAAAGGCAATGAAGAAAATGTTTAAATATCCCAAGTGACTACAGTGGCTCAACTATATGTTTATCAAGCGACGACAATACTTTTTGTGCGAAAAAACAAACAAAAATAACGAGTTTATTCGACTATTTCTTTTCTTCCTTGTTGGCCAGAAACGAGATTTCCTTAGATTTCCACGACGCATGCGCGAGAATTGGGCCCTACGAACGCGCATCACGGAACAGAGCAAGGCGAGCATTTGTGCTTATAGAACATGAACTTTTTTTTTTTTTTTTTTTTCTAAATGAGCGATGGTTTCGCTAGATAAGGCCCTCATCGTCTGGTGTCGTTTAAAACCCTTTGAAGCTGCAATGAAACTTCAATGGACCCCAACATTTCAAGGTCCAAATGAAAGTCCATTATATGGAGAATAATGCTGGAATGTTTATCAAAAACCTTAATTTCTTTTTCGACTGAAGAAAGACATGGACATCTTGGATGACATCGGGGTGAGTAAATTATCAGCAAAAGTTTTTTTTTTAGTGAACTTCTTTAAGTAAGTTATTTATTTTCAGTTGATAATTTTAGTGCTTTAACTTAAACATAACTCATATTGAAGCAGGGTTACAATCGTTGATTAAGATCAGAATTTGAATGTTTTCTGTGGTTTACATGGAGTTGCGGTTTCATTAGAGGTTCGGTCAGTAAGATGGGTGGATTTGTGTTGTTTTCGGGTACCTGGCGTGAAGGGCAGCGTGTCTTTATGGTTGTTGGCATCGGGTGTAGGGTGGACCAGGTCAATGATGTCATGATCTACAGGGCTGTGATGTCGTGCCGTTTGTGTGTGTGAGGCCGGACGCCCCACCGTGAGTCCAGGGAGCCGATGGTCTCCTCAAAGAACAGAAAACACTCCCTTTCCTCGAGACTGAGGAACTGCAGATCATCTTCCTAGAGAGAGAGAAAGTTAAAGCAAACATTGAATGACTGCTAGTTGGCACTATAATATTATATTAAAATCTATAATATTAAAATAAAAAAAGCAAATGTTACATAAATGTATCTTTTTAGGACGATGTTTTTTTTTTGTTTTTTTGTTTTTTTTTTGCGTTATGGCTTTAATGATAAACACATGTCGTTTTAATTACTGTAATCAAAATGTCAAGTTAAACTCGGTACAAATAAATACTACAGTGAGATACGTAGTTTTCAAATTGACATAATGTATGACTTCATGAATGTCATGTAAATAATAATGATAATCATATTCAAACAGTGGTGGAATGTAACGAAGTACAAATACTTTGTTACTTTACTTAAGTACATTTTTCACGTGTCTTTACTTTACTTAAGTAGAATAAATAGCGCATACTTTTTACTTTTACTTTGTTACATTTTGCAGCAATTATTACACTTTCTACTCCACTAAATTTCTACACCTTCTGTTACATTTTCATTACATTTGCTGATCAGTTTTTCCCCTGCCAAAACGTAATCTGGCCGTCCGTCCGTTGCACCTTTGTCTCCATTTTTGCACTCGGGTCTAAATCCCATGACCCTCTAAATTTGTGGTATGTGACATTTAAACTTGAATCTCCACACTGTATTTTGTCTTTACATTTTAAGGTGTGGTCAACTGGAAAAAAAATTCTCCGGACTACTGTGAGTGTGATGAGTTTCGCCAGAGCTTCAGGGAATGCTTGGAGCTTTTCAAGTCCTATCCACCGGGGTACAGGGGAAGAGGAAGACGAGGGGAACTGCTGGGCTTTTACTCCGAGGATCTTTGTACAGGATTTTGCTCGCAGTACTGTTTTTTTTTTTTTTTTTTTTTTGCTGCAGGAAATGAATTTCTGTAAAACTCAAAACTTGTAGATGGGAATTGAGAGATGAACTGGTTTTGATGTAGTAATTGGTGCAACTAAAAGTTAAACTTAAAGGTCAAACTTGAAAAATTAGAATATTGTGCAAAAGTTCATGTTCAGTAATTCAAATTAAAAGGTGACTAATATATTTAGTATAAATAACTATATATGCATATGGCATAATTATATATACTTTTCAGAGGGCTTACATTTTTGTAATATTCTGATTTTGTGAGATTTTGAATTTGATGTTCATCAAAATTATAACTTTTGCACGATATTAAAATTTTTCGAGTTTCACCTGTATAGTGTTCTATTGAAAAACTATGGCAAAAACATAGGTTTCACTAATTGTGCATATGGTAAAGTACCGTGGTTCTTTAAGGTTTGCATAAATTCCGTTCTGCTGATGCATAAGTGCAGTTTGGAGTCTATAATAAAGAAAAAGTGACAAAGTCTTTGTTTTGTTGTGTTCTTAAAGAGCATGTATAGAAAAAACTCCCTAATAAGTTTATTATAGTACAACTTATTATAGTAGTTATTGATTACATGTATGTAAACGCACAAATACTATAATTACCATAGTTAATTTGTGATTACCATGGCTTTTTGGAGCTACTGTATGATCAGTGAAGTTTAACAGCCGTAAATGTAGTTTAAAACAAAAAATGTTCGTAGGATCTTACGGAAACTCGTGGTTACTGGTGACATGTCCGCTATAGTTTTCTCTCTCTCTATCTATACGGCAGTTTCTTTTCCAACAACGGACCGAATAGCTTTTCTCACGTCTTTCTCCGCTGCCATTACTGAACTCAAACTGACGCGCTTCGATCGTTCTCAGCCACTCCCTCTATTCGCTGATTGGTCCTACAAAAATTGATTTCTGGAAACCTAAGGATACACAGCAATCCCAGACGTAGTACTAAGTAGTAGCTACTAGTACTAAGTGCGTAGGAAGGCGCAGCCAGGCTAGGCGTAGCTCGCGTGGTGAGCTGAAACCTGCGTATGTCATGAAGTGCGGAACATCCAATAGGAAAATTCAACTGCAGTAGCCACCGTTCAACCTGAAAAGGGCAGCACTAAGGCGTTTTTACACCACATATTGTAGAAATAAAACACTTTATAAATAAATGTCAAAAAAGTAACTCGAATCAATGACTGGTATTAATAAAGATCCATTCTTACAGATCATTAACTAAAAAAAGTTGGTTTAGTTACTCTTTAAGGTCTTCAGGATCACTTAAAAAATTAAAGGCAGGTGCATGTGTTTGATTGAAGTTTGAGATGAACTGTGCAGGAAAGTCGATCGGCAGGAGCAGGGTTGGGCACCCGAATACATGGCTCTAGTACATGATAATAATAATAACAATTATGTAGCCTAGGCTACGTTACAATATTATGATCTGAGGACAGTGTTACATATGGTTAAAGGAGCCGTAAGATTGTGGCCAAAACAGGTACTGCAATCACTTTCAAATTACTGTAGAGCGGTGTGTGAAATCATGTTGAAATGAACATGATTTTTTAATACAGTATCTAGTGACATATCGGGGCCATCTTTATGATTTTCTCGCAGCACCTTAGGTAAGCTAGGAATAATGGTATGAAGTATTCTGATATCTGAACCGTTTCTAAATACCTGAATTGGGTGTATGAGGTAAAATCTTCTCCTAACGATATGGCCATCAGGATATTTAACTTGGAGAGGGATGCCATCCTGTGGCTCAACCAGACTTCTCAAATTGAGACGCCTTCTTTCCAAAGCCTGTCAAGAAAGCACAGTAAAATATATCAGTCTATAGCCCTACTAGTTTAACATGGAGGTGGGGTAATGTAATTTTATTTTACCCCAGGATGTCTGTAATAATAATAATGGACAATTTGCAAGGGATAAGAAATCTCAGTAAAACTAGCAGAAGTGCAGGAGTAACTCGATTTACACACCACTGTCACTCCCTTTCATCATGTGTGTATTACATTGCTTTCTAAAATCATGTTGTGCGCAAACAAAAATATAGCGTATATTTGTAGCCTACAAATAAAACAGTTGGGTACAGTCGGATATATTAAGTAAACTCAGATTTTATTATGTTGGTAATAATCTTTTGTTTAACGCTAAAATAAGTTTTGTGCCTGTAAAAAGTGCTTTTGAGCTTCTTTTTGATCTGAATGGTGTGAGTAAAACACTTGAGTTTTGCCATAGACTCACTTGGCACCGCCTAGAAGCAACAATGCTTTTTCAAGCACCTCCATACTTGAGAAACCGTGGAAAACTACTTTTAAACAGGAAATAATTAAATATGTACGTACATACTTACAGTTGGTCTATTTGCACAGGATTCGTATTACCTGAGGTTATTTTTTCTGACAATTTTACTGAAGGTAAAAGTCACCCTAATCTTTACTGACATCGTGATTACTGCGATGCGCATTCGAACCTAAAATCATATAGGCTCTGCTAATTATTACTTTACCCCACCTCTCCATTTTAAACTAGTCCCAGTCGAATAGGGCTTATAATTGGTTAAATTAAACAACAAATGAGTCGCATGCCTCGTTGCGTCTGTTCTCCATATCTGCTTCTCTGCGTTGTGCCTGCCTGGTCCATATGAAAGCAATTGATGCATGTCCAAAAGCATTTGCAATTTGTTGGAAGGAATGAGAAACTGCAACTATGATGTGCACAAATGACAAAATGTTGTGGAGGTTGAACTAACTGTTGTGCAAATGTAAAAAGTGATGTGAGAAATGCACCAAAGCGACTGAGAAAAACTGTAACACCAAAGTAGTTAAAAGCGCATGCATTTACGATTTCTGCCCTGCAGGTGGCGCCAGATCTCGAAAAATAACTTCTTAAAGAAGATAAATGAGTTGCATGGGATTTTTTACTATTATTATTATTATTATTATTTTAGTTCAAATGGACTTTAAAACCCTTTACGGGTCATCTTTAAGTAAACCCATTATGAAACAATGGAGGCTATTAATTCGTCAAAACAACGATAGCGTGCTTTGTTTAGTTGCCTAACTTACTCTCGAGCAGTTATATTTACTAGAAAATGAAACTGAAAGATTGCAAAGGGCGTTTCATTAAGGAATATGGCTTCGAACTATCGAGATGATTCAGGTGAGTTTAATATATAGCCTATTCCGAAAACAAATAAACAAATGAGCATTAAACACACAATATTAGCTGTAGGCTAGCCTTAGAAGACTTTTCAGATATGTTCATCTCAAGTACTGTTATTGCAGTGATATAACGTTATCTTGTCTGCGGTTTCGAGAGACACATTTACGGTTTCGAGAGGCGTCATTCTCATTTAGAAATATTTCACTAAAACTAGACTACTTATGACAAGTTTTATTCTCCTGAACATTTCTCAAGGTGTGTATTTTGGAAAGGCAATGTCTCTTACGAGGCTGTCACAATAGGAAGCAGTGCCCACAACTCTTTTAAAGTTGATAAATCAAAGTTTAAGTCATTTTTGTGTTGTGTCAAGGGTTTATTAACTTTAAATTTGCGGTTTGTGCAACTTGCTACCGCTGTTTGCACACACAACGTTATGAATACATGCTATGCCGGGTTGTTTCAACCCATGTTTTGGTCAAATGGATTTGCCCAACCGGTGGGTTTAATGCGATTTAAAAAATGTAAACCAACGATTGGGTTTGTCTATATTTGACCCAAATATGAGTTGAAACAAAGTGAAACAACCCAGGCTAATATTTATAAAGTACCGTCCACCAGTACAGCTCTCATCGTGTGGTATCAGCTTAACCTTTATTTAGCCTAACGTTACTCCTCATAGGTGCATTTTTGTATGTGGGCTTATAAAATGGTAGATGCCTCCGTTATTAAGGACAATGTGTATTTATTTTTTTTAAATTGTACCATATTTAGATGGACGTTTAGCAAGTGCAGCCATTTTCGAGGAATTAAATCGAAACATATAATGCTAATGCTAATTTAGTTGTTAAATGTTAAAAGAGAGATGGCCACTGGTAAGTTCACCCGCTATGTGGTACATACATCTTTTACAGCATGTATAAATTACGTGTAATTTTACTTTTTAAATATATTAAGCAGCACATCTGTTTTCAACATTGATAATAAATAATGTTTCTGTAGCACCATTTCATATCATTTCTAAAGGATCATGTGACACCAAAGACTGCTGAAAATTCAGCTTTGACATATCAGGAATAAATCACATTTTAAAATGTTATGTAATAGAAAAAAAAACTTTTAATAAATGTAATAATAATATTTCACAATAAGAATGTTTTTAGTGTACTCAATCAAATAAAATATGCAGCATTGATGAGCATAAAGAACAATTAAAAAGTATAGCACAAAAAATCTCTGGTAAAATCTCAATTGCATACATTTTTATCATTATCGTCAAACAGTCTAAAAATGAATTTACAATTATTCAAATTGTTCTCATACCATTAAAGAGCACTCCTTTCTTCCTAGATGAAGGCAGCAGTCAGCAATCTAGTGACAGTTGCTCAGATTTCAGCGACAGTGACACCGATTCCCCGTCCGACACTGAAACAAACGCACAAACATCTGACACCGAAGCAGCTGCTCAAACATCTGGCAAGGTACATCTTAGACATTTGGGGGGGAAAAAGATTCGAAAGAATCATCCTTAATGAGTGTGAATGCAGCTTAATAAATTAATAAATGTTAATCAATTCTGATGCTTTGTGTTCAAGAGGAACGTTTGTATGCATTACAACCGTGGCAACTGCCGTTTCGGGGACAAGTGTAGGAAGGAGCACATCTGCAGTTACTTTCTGAAGGGTTCGTGCAAGTATGGTGCCGGGTGTCGTCTCAACCACAACCTCCCGAGTTCATCGCCTGGACACAGAAGACGAGCTAGCAGAGCCCCGACTGAAGGTGTGTGTGGGTGGGGCTGGAAAAGAATACTGAGAAATTCTACTTTTTTATTCAAATATGGGTACTGTATCATCCAATACTCAATTAAAAGTTAAAGAAACTTAAATGAAAAAGCATTTCCACATGTATTATTACTCATATATCCAGTAATTATTACACACACATGTAACTATTTAAGAATTTAAAACAAACACACTGGCTCTGGGACACACTCATTTAAAACGTCAAATTCAGTTAGCAGTTAACTCTTAATATAGACTAATCATCTTAACGTTCTTCTAACATTATATACACTATAATGTAGAATAGAATAGAATAGAATAGAATATACTGATGTGATAGACGATTCATCTGACCAGGTGGATTCAGAACTTCTCGTCTTGTCCAATCAAATGCTATAATATAATATAATATCCTCTGAGATCAAAGTCTACATTTAATTGGCTTAGTTTTATTAATATATTTTTTATAATATTTATTCATTTTGAATTCACTTTTTATGATCAGGTTTAGTTTAGTTGTCATTTTATGTATTTATATGAAGAGTTCAGATGCAAAAGCCTCTAAATGCCATTTGAAATTTTCTTCTTTAATGATGATTTTTATCAAACTTGTATATTTAAGTTCAGTGATTTCACTTAAATGGCAATGATAATTACCTATTAATTGTTATTTAAGTGAAATTACTGAACTTAAATATATGCAAGTTTGATAAAAATCATCATTAAAGAAGAAAATTTCAAATGGCATTTAGAGGCTTTTGCATCTGAACTCTTCATATTTAGATTATAATTTATATTTTATATTTATTTTATTTTTTTGCAGTTAATATTTCAAATTTTCTTATTTTTTTTAGGTATTTAATCGTATACATTTTATTTATTATTTTACTTCAGGTTTAATTAAATCAACAATAACAATAAAAAAAGTATCTATATTCTAGTTTAAAGTATCTATGTTCTAGTTAACAATAAGAGCATTGAAATGAATTTGATTAATAAATAGATTTGCGATATGTTGTATAATTATTTACAGTAATTAAGTACAATCACTCATAGTGTACACGCTTGTGTTTATATTGATGTGTGCATGTTTAACCATCAGTAGTCATTTGATTTTTTTTTTTTTTTTTTTTTTGTAATCACACACAGAAGCTGATGAAGAATGTGCCGGGCCCTACAGATGGCAGTTGAACTTTGGAAAGGGCTGGATGAACATTAGCCATGATCATATTCTAGAAGCCCAGTATTCCCTCCCCCACACCAAAGCAATCAAGATCTATAACACCGATGCCGGGTATGTGCAAAAAAAATACAAATTTATTTGCGTGTACCTAGATTTTTACAAAGATTTATTGAAATAGTCATCCAAAAATGAATATTCTGTTCCTGTACGCTGTAACACGCTAAATTTGAAATTATTATTTATTTACTTGTTGCCAGATTTGCAAGTTTTGGCCACATCCCGTTAATATGTGCTTGAAACTCGATTGTTGCAGCTATAAGTACTGACATGTTGACTCCTTCTCATTCACAATACAGGGCCATTTCGATTGATTTCACTAAAATGAAAGTTCTTAAAAAAAAGAATATTAAAGTGCGACGTATGAGCTCAAAGGATTCAAGGTGGTTGTGGTATTACAGAGGTAACCGCTGCTGGTACCAGTATGGAGGGAAGGTGAGTTTTTAAAATAAAGTCTCACTAGTTAACTAAATTGTCCTAGTTTTAACAATGGATATATTTTCATTTCTGTCATATTTTTTTTCTGAACTAACCTTTTTTTTAAAACAAAAGTGTGTTGGAAATGACTATACATTTTGGAATTAAAACACAGACTGCTTTATCTTGCCAAGGCTAAGTGACATATCATTTAATGTATCCTATATATATATAAAAAATGATGTGTTTCACTTCCTGTGTTTGCCTAGTTATATCTATAATGTTATTTAGAAATGAAAGTGCTATGCATGAATGAGTTTGATTGTTATTTAATGAATATGTTTTGATTGTATGTGTCTATAGGGGAAAACCAGTCCAATTAAGAGCTCAGAACTGGAGACGGCATATCAAAAAAACCCACATGGTTCAGTTAAGTTGACCATTGACTCTACCCAGTATGAGATTAGCTTCAAAGGTTTGTTTCATATTCATCCACACACACACACACACACACACACACCTTTTCTTTTAAATTCCTTTCAATAAACAGGAAAGGTCACATTCATGACTGTCTTTGTGTTTCCAGAAATGTGTCAGACTAATGTATCCACAGGCCATAAGAGGCAAGTTAGACGCCGCCCTAAATATGAAGCATCACAAAGTGGAGGGTAAATACTGAACAGATTCATGTTTGTCTCTTTGCCTTATCACGTTACAATCGAATTTATTATGGCATATTGAAAAAAAAGTGCTACCCTTGTGATATCAGTTATATAACGCCCACTTTTCTCCATTCAGTCTCCAAAGTTTTTTCCCATTGTTTTCAAACCGAAAATGTTTTTTTCTGTTTTATTCAGAAGTGTTTAAATTGATTTGCATTATTTTTTTAAAGTAATCCACATAACTTACACAACTAACAGAGTAATGTGCTCACAAAACAGATTACAAGAAATAACCTCCCATATCAAGAACATATTCAATCCTCCAACAAATAAAACTCCAGAGTGGCAGTTTCAAGGGAGAAATAAGTGGTACACCTTCAGAAACACGGTAAAACTTTTTTATTTCTTTGATTGCACGGATCTCAAAAATACTTGATTCTGGACTGGTAATATTTTGTATAATGACTGTTAAATTCTGTTTAAACCACAAGTTAGAAATGATCATTTGCACCTTTTGCGACTCAAAACGGTTGATGGATTTAGTAAAAACAGCCTCAGAGGGCTTTTGTATTATTATTTTTTTAATGAAATGACTTAAATGTTCAGAAAAGTTTTCACTTTGCACTTTTCATGTACAGTCGATAACGTTGTAAAAATTATCCCACAGATCGAAATGAAAAACTAAAGCCATAGACTGAACAAGTAATACACATGCGCATGACGTTACCGTTTCACAAAGTTGCGTTTTTGTAGTTTACGTAGAGGCTATAACGGTATCGGTTTTTAAAAACTTTTTAGTTTACAGTGACGTACCGTACTCAAATGAAACTTGTAAACTGGGACGTTTCTGAGTGCTCCGACTTGTAAGTCCGAATAGAAAGTCACGTGCTGTCATTTATGGGAATTACGGCATGGAGTGAAGGCAGCATTTACCTTGATGTACTAAAATAACTCGAATTAATAATAATAAATACAAATGAAAAAATTAATAAAAATTACTAAATCGAATTAAAATGAGTGTATAAAATAAAACAAAATATTACAGAGTTTCTGCAGGTCTTAAAACGGTCTTAATTTCCCCCTTACACAAATTAAGGTCTTAAAAAGGTCTTAAATCAGAGCAGAACGTCTTAAATTAATAAAGTAATGCCATGAAATGTTGCAAACATTGCAAAAAATGTATATCTTCCTCATTTTTTTTGTCCTGTTTTCCAATACAAATATCTAAGCATCTTTAAATCAATTTAAATCAATCAATATACATTTACCTGAAAAATTGAACTAACAAATATCTTTAAATTTTCCAAGCCACATTGGGCAGATATTTATGGAAGCTTGTTTCCGCCACTGAATAAAAAAAAAAATAATAATAATAAATGCGACTTTTTATCACACAATTGCATGTTATAAAGTCAGAATTGCGAGATATAAAGTCTTGTGAATTGTGAAATATAAACTCACAATTGTGAGTTATCAGGCCATTCTAAGGGGAAATTTTTTTTCCCCCTCAGAATAGTTTAAATCTCGCAATTCTGACTTTATATCACGCAATTCTGAGAAATAAAGTCAGAATTGTGAGATGTAAACTCGCAATTGTGAGATAAAAAGTTGCAATTACCTTTTTATTTTTCATTCTATGGCGGAAACAAGCTTCCTGTTCTTGTTTTAATCATAAACTCAAAAGTTAATTTTGGTCAATTTCTCAGTAAACAATACTTTATAATCTGTCATTTTGTATCTCCAGTAAATGTATCTTGAAGGTCTGAATCTTTGAAATTAATCTTTAGATATATGCACTGGAAAACAAGACAAAGATACTGAGTAAGAAGAACATCACTTGTTTTTTCCCATATGATAAAAGATATTTCCATATTCTAGTGGTTGGGAGCAAAATGATTCAAGAAATGGATAGCTGTTGGAAATTGTATTTTCAAACTCATTGTGTTTCTCACTAGACTTTTACATTTCAAGAATATAATAAATTATTGTGTTGCCTTCAATTTATTCCTTTAATTTTTTTTACTTGGTCTTAAAAAGGTCTTTAAAATGCTTAAATTTACCTTCATAAAACCTGCAGAAACCCACTATAATAGGATCTCAATAATATTAAAAAATGTTGAAATACAAATATTATATATAAAACATTACATACAAAAAAACGTTAACTCAAGTTTTCATGACCATGTAATTATATTTAATAGCCGTATAATAAGCAGGAAAGTGCATTCAACCAGTAATTATTGCAATGTAAAACCCTTCAGGGTGATGCAATACCAGTCCTGATCTTCCTGAAGGGTTATGAATGAATGTACAATAGCCCTTAATGAACGACTTTGACAAGCAAAGAGAGATTGACTGATCTTGATATTCTTTTTCAATAGGATGGTTGTTCAGTCTCAAGTGCTGACATTGAGAGGTGTTACCAACAGAGGAAAGCGAACATGGATTTCACTGTCAATCATGTTCCTTACACTCTGGATTTTACAAGTATGTCAGCAAAAGCATTTGGAAACTATGTGAAGCATTTAAATGTCTTCTTTTGTTACTATCGTAAGGCACCACAAGATTACTATCTTCTTGAACATGATTTTTTAAATATGATAAAAGATGCTTTGTCTTTTTTTTTTTTAATTTAGAGATGAGACAAGTTAACCAGAACACTATGGCCGAACGCAAGATCAGGCGTGCGTAAAAGGCGGCTGAATGTCTTGCAACGGATGTTGGCAAATACTCAAGATCAAACAGCAAATAGTTTGTTATTTAGTAATTATAACTGAAATGATTGTTTGTGATTATGAGTTAGGATGTTTTAACAGGAATCACTTTCTTGTTTGGTAAACTGCCTGTGGGAAATTTGAACTGCTTAAGTCAGTCATTTTGAATTATTGTATGTAAATATGAATTATTTGAAATACCAGACAGCAACAAGGTGTCAGCCCAGATCCGGCCCACATCTGGTTCTACTGTATGTGTACCAGATGTGGGCCGACACATGTTGCTGTCCTGGATGCTGCTTGCCACATCAACCAAAAAAACAAGCAAAAGGAAGCATATATATTTTTCTTGTTTAATTTAAAATATATATATATATTTTAAAATTGTATCATGTTTGGTTATTTTATAATTACTAGCCATTCTGCCATAGCAATACAGGCCTGTGCGACTGCCTGACAGCCAATGTTTACATGTTTACAACGTTTTCCAACGTTTCATTTTCTAAGTGCACTTAGTTTGTTTTAGCATTAATGCTCAGACTTGCTGAAAAGGTTAAACTTGGATTCAGGGATGCACAATAAAACTGTGTGAATACAGAGTGAATATTTTTACATTACAAAAGTGAATTACCATTACATGAAATTACAACATAAGGACAATTATTTGTATGAAGCTGTTTTCACAGGGTTAATTGATTACAAACTGAACTGTTTAAATGCAACTGTCATGTCTAGTTTTGGTTTTGTTTCATGTCTTATCTTTGTGGATTAGTTATGTTATCCTGCCTTTTGCTCCCATTTTCCTCTTGTGATCATGTCATTAGCTTCTCATTGGTTCATCCTTGTTCATTACACTCATAATTGAGTCATTAGTTTCTGTATTATTGACCTCATGTTTAGTCTCTTGTCTTGTTCACTGTAAACCTCTGTTAGTGTGTTATGTTGTTTTATGTTATGTCAAGTCAAGTTATCCCCAAAATCAAACCTGACAGCAACAACATGCTAGAGTTTATGGAAGTGCATGGATGCGTTTATAAGGGCTACATTAAAAAAACAATACAAAATATGAAATGATGTGTCCTTATTTAACTACAACACACTGAATATGTATAATTTCTAGTATTTTAATGACGATCGTCAGCATTTGGTGATCGAAATTACTAGTGGAAATGACGTTTAGAATGAAAAAAAAAAGGTTTTGAAAGAAAATGGCAGAACCTTTGTCTGGGCTAATTTGAAGTAGCCTATTTTGTGTAAAAAACATAATTAAATCATTTTCACTCTTACCTAATTTGACAACAAATAGCTACAGCTCGTTTGGAAATGCCCCACATACAAAACCGATATGCTATTATATATAAATTGTAAATAGCCTACATCTATAGACATACAACAGGTCGTCATCGTCGTTGTAAAGCCGGTTAAGCACTGAAAGATATGTAAATACAGTCGGTAACAACCCACCACACCACTACCTGTTTGTTCCCGTTCACACAAGCCAGAAAAGAAACCGAAACTGGGTCAGTGATTCTGCTGTGGAGCCATTTAAATGCGAACAAAACATTCGACTGTTTAGGGTACTTGATAAATGCGTTATCAGATTTTAAATATGCTATCGATGGAAGTAACGTTATGGTGAGTAGACTAACCCTTTAAGTACTTAAACACTAATATACGTTACCTTATTTAACAACATCTCCCGACTCCGAGAGTGTCCAATAACAGCTTCGGTCGCAGATCTTATTAAATAGTTGTAAATTTTGGGTTATTAATCAAAACGGGAACCATTTGTGTCCCTCGTGTTCTATCTGCATTTTATTGTAGACTATATTTGTATTTTCTCTCTGTTTACATTTTTAGATTTAAATGCCTTATTAAAAATAGTGCATTGTGACGTAAGCTATTATCAAAAAGTGGAGTAGGCTACTTATCTTTTTGCGTTAGGCTAATCATTTTCCGTTTGTTTGGTCAAATCTTGAACGGATTGTCCAACATGTTTAAAAAAAAATAGCCTATAGCCTACAGTATGGACTTTTGAGATCACTGCGGCCTATTTAAAACACACTTTAATTGTATGCAGTTCTGAATAGCCTGTCTATCTGTCTATTTGTTTTGTAGTGTGAAGAGAAAATGAGCTAAAGAGAATGTCAGCTATTTAGGTGGGTGCCTATTCTCATTTACCTTTTTTGAATCATAAATTGATTTTATATGGATTTAGTTTGATCCAGTATGTTTCACACACAGTGTTGACATTTGTATTTATATAACAGAAGAGTATATAATATGATATAATATGAAGAGTTATATATATAGGATACCTAAAAATATCCTTAAATATCTCTAGGCTGTTTTTGTTGTTCGGGAAGACACGGCAGCATTATCTAACATGGCGACAGGTAGGCTAAGTCTTGGCTTATATATTTATCTTTTTTGTGTGTGATTGGCGTGATTGACAAATTGTTCATTTTTTTTCAGTGCATTCATTCATTAATTCAATCATTCAGTCATCCATTCATTCAAATCCTCAGGTAACCACTTTGAGTGGCAGCTGTTCGATGGAGCGCAGTGGGATTCTATCGCTAATGATATTGTCATTGAGGCTCATTACTGTCAGCCAGGGGCGAATGGGATCACCCTCTACTTCAACATAGGGTTAGTTGGTCTTCAACATGTGCATAGATTAATTTATCAGTTTAATTTTGACTTTACATTCACTGATTATGTTTGTACCAGTCATATATTAAAGTATTTTTATTGATATATTCTGTATAGGATTAAAGGGTTAGTTCACCCAAAAATGAAAATCCTGTCATTAATTTATCACCCTCACGTCGGTCCAAACCCGCAACACTTTCTTTCATCTTTGAAACACAAATGCAGATATTTTTTGATAAAATCTGACAGCTTTCTGTCCAAGATAGCTACACAACTACCAGTTGTTTTACGCAGCATGTTTGAGCTTCAGCAAGAACCAATGAGGTTCATTCTCGTGTTACGCTGCATATTTGATCTTCAGCAAGAACCAATGAGGTTCATTCAAATGTTACGCAACACGTCTGAACAAGAGGTTTGTTCTTGCGCGTCAAGCAGGTTCAATTGAGCTTCTGTTTATGTCCGCTGATCAACATATAACGTCATTATGTCTCTTCAGAAAATTTGGACTCAATTCATTTGGATTAGTTTTACAATCTCTTCATTAACTTTTTGAAGTGTCAAAGTAGTAGCTGCATAGCTTTCTATGGAGGGACAGAAAGCTCTGAGATTTTACTAAACAGATCTTCGTTTGTGTTCCGAACTAAAGTCTTACCGGTTTGGAACGACATGAGGGTGAGTGATTAATGACAGAATTTTCAATTTTGGGCGAACTAACCCTTTAAATATTAATTTAAGCCTTCCCAATCATTGCACATGCAGGGCCGTCAATATTGACTTTGACCAAATGACAGTCAGTGGACCTCTTCGTAACCTTAGTATACGGCGCAATACACTGCTGTCCCCTTACCAGAAACAAGAAGTAGGCTGGTACTACAAAGATAACCATCGCTGGTGTGAATATGGATCTCAGGTAAGTGGTTCTAGAAATATATTCATTACGCCACACATCCATATTCTCACGGAGTGAAAACAACATGCGACAAATGTGCTGACAGACAAGACAGAGCAGGTTATTTTCGATATGAAACTTTCAAATTTTGAGCTTCAGTTCAAGCAAAGCGGTAGTGCAAATGAGAGATCATCTCTTCCTTTTTACAGACTGATCTCATGAAGTAGCGTGTGTATGACACGCCAATTCGTATTTCCATTTTTGGCGTGCTATCAAGACGCATAATCGCTTTTCAGCGTGTTTATGAACGCCGTTGACTTAACGTTATTACTGTATAAATATATGACTTACCTCAACCTTGTCCCCGGGTTAATGGCATTTATGACTGTTCCCATTCCATCCTAGGAAAAAAAAAAGATCGCTCCCCAGATGTAGATCTACATTTTGCTTCGTTTCACGCGGACATTTGACGGCGTGTACAGACACGCGGAATCACTCGGACGTTAATGGTGTAGACATACACACATACATGCGGATACACGCGGATAGCTCAAAATGCGTAGAGATAACACGCCACTTGACTCGAAAGTGGCGTGTATGTTTACGCAAAAGTCATGATGTCATGTTTCTTTACTGTACAATAAATGTCTCATATCTTATATAATCGCTGTTTCGACTACGGATAAAACAGCATGTAAACAATGTGTCAGGTTACATTAAATTTACCTCAGAAAAGCTGTAAATCCATAAACTGTATAGTTAGCAAGAAAAATGTACTCTGGAGAGGAGTATTTTACACAAAAAAGCACTATATTACATATTCATTACTCTAATATCATTAGATATTTAGGTTAGATATAATTTTATTATTATAAAAACGGTGTCATGCAATTGTATACAAGTTATTAATTAACCTTTAATAATAACGTACAAGTCGACCAGTTTCCCAGTTTAGTTTACAAACATTCGATTATTTTTTCTTTGAGAAAAATGAACATGTACTCAATGTACCCAAATGAATATATATATATATCGAATTGACATCGAAATTGAATCGCATTCGATTAGAAAGCTAAACTCAAACGTTGTCAGTCCTGCTAGATATTATTGTTTCCTCTCTGATTTCTACAGGGATTCGGTGGGAGAGCGTCCTCAATTGGAAGCGATTTTATAGAACAGCAGTACAACAGCAACCCAAGCGGCTCAGTCCAGTTCACTGCAGGAAGCATGACTTACGACGTGGACTTCACTGGTAATGGGACAAATGAGAACGATTACCTTCATGGCTGTGAAACAAAAGTGTCTTCCTCCAAAAAAAAATGGATAGACTTGAACTTTGAAGTCACTAACTTGTTTTCGTGTTGTTGTTGTTTTGGAATGCTGTAGCCATGACTCAAACAAATCTATCCACAAACATGTCCAGGAAAGTAAGACGGCGACCAAAATTCAATGCAATTGTAATGGGCAACAGCAGCAATCAAAACAGGTATTACTTTTGGGTAATATACGACATACGAAACGTACGAATTTATGTAAATATTTATTGTAAAATTATTTGTACATTTATTTACAACCTATGTAAGAATGTTTTAATCAAACTATTTATAGAGAAATTCCTTCAGCTTATTTTTCACGAAGAGTTACCAATATGTTTAAAATTGTATTTGTAGACAAACCATTTGATTTCCTTTTATCGCATGCAGTTCACAAATTCTGGCATCTCCCTTGGCAAACCCAACAAACTCTTCTTCTCACTACATCTGGGAGTTTATGGGAGATGAGGGGATTTGGACTGAGTACCAAAAACCAGTGAGTTCTAAACACTGTTATACCAAATACGCTTATTTCTTCAACTGAAATGTTTAGGGTGAACGTGACATGTTTAATCTAACAGTTCATTGAACTTTTTGTGTCTCTACAGGGATGTTCATTGGATAGTGCAGAAATCGAGAGGTTGTATCAGCTCAACCCTCAGTGCCAAGTTTCATTCACATCAAGACGATTCTCTTACTCTCTTTACTTTGGGGGTAAGATGCTATCACTCGCAATTGCGAATATATCACATAATTCTGACTATATCTCGCAATTGCGAATATAATACGCAATTCTGACTTTATATCTCCAATTGCGAATATAATATAATTATAAATATAATTAATTCCTTTATATTCACTTTAATATAATTGCGTAAAAAAGCTAATATAATTGCGTAATCTCGCAATTACGAATATATCACGCAATTCTGTGTTTATATCTCGCAATTGCGAATATATCACACAGTTCTGACTTTATATCTCGCAATTGCGAATATAATATAATTGCGTAATTGCGTAATCTAATTGCGTAAAAAAGCGAATATAATTGCGTAATCTCGCAATTACGAATATATCACGCAATTCTGTCTTTATATCTCGTAATTGTGAATATATCACGCAATTCTGACTTTATAACTCGCAATTGCGAATATATCACGCAATTCTGACTTTATAACTCGCAATTGCGAATATATCTCTCAATTCTGACTTTATAACTCGCAATTGCGAATATATCACGCAATTCTGACTTTATAACTCGCAATTGCGAATATATCACGAATATATCACGCAATTCTGACTTTATAACTCGCAATTGCGAATATATCACGCAATTCTGACTTTATATCTCGAAATTGGCGAATATATCACACAATTCTGACTTTATATCTCGCAATTGCGAATATATCACGCAATTCTGACTTTATATCTCGAAATTGGCGAATATATCACACAATTCTGACTTTATATCTCGAAATTGGCGAATATATCACGCAATTCTGACTTTATATCTCGCAATTGCGAATATATCACAAAATTCTGACTTTATATCTCGAAATTGGCGAATATATCACGCAATTCTGACTTTATATCTCGCAATTGCGAATATATCACGCAATTCTGACTTAATATCTCGCAATTGCGAATATATCACGCAATTCTGACTTTATATCTCGCAATTGCGAATATATCACACAATTCTGACTTTATATCTCGCAATTGCAAATATATCACACAATTCTGACTTTATAACTCGCAATTGTGAATATATCACGCAATTCTGACATTATATATCGCAATTGGGAATATATCACACAATTCTGACTTTATATCTTGCAATTGTGAATATATCATGCAATTCTGACTTTATATCTTACAAATATATCACGCAATTCTGACTTTATATTTCGCAATTGCGAATATATCACGCAATTATTAAAAAAAATCTTTATATATAGAAGTCTGTCTGTAGTGTACAGCAAACATGAGGGAAAAGCAGGGGCCTACCTATAGAGAATGTCTGCTAAGAGAAATGTGTTAAAGTTTTAAAACTTGATGTCAAAATGTTGATATTGATTACTTATCTTTATGTCTTTATCTTCATGTCTACAGGAATGTACCAAGTGAACGATAAATATGGTACAAAAAGAGCTGTCCGGAGAATCCAGCAAACAAACAGGTATGAATCTATTAATAAAAGGTGACATTTATATGGAAACTAATATCTGCCATGAAATGAAAAATATACTGTAAATATGGAGGCTTGTTTCACCATGGAAGAAAACAATTTAAAAGATAACATCAGCTTTCTGACATCTCACAATTCTGAGTTTTTTTTTCCTCTCACAATTATGGCTTTATATCTCACAATTCAGACAAAAATGTTTAACTCTCAATTGCGAATGCGTCTATGTAACTTGCAATTGTGAATTTATATCACAGAATTCTTACTTCATATCTCACAATTGCGAGTTTATATCTCACAATTCTGACTTTATAACTCGCAATTGTGATTCACGTAATTCTGAATATATCACGCAATTCTGACTTTATATCTTGCAATTGCAAATATATCACTCAATTGTGACTTTTTAACTTGCAATTGTGACTTTATATCACTCAATTCTGACTATAATTTGCAATTGTGACTTTATATCACTCAATTCTGACTTTAAATTGCAATTGTGACTTTATATCACACAATTTTGACTTTATATCTCACAATTGCGAATATATCAAACAATTCTGACTTTATATCTCGCAATTGTGACTTTATATCACACAATTCTGACTTTATAACAAGCAATTGTGACTTTATATCACTCAATTCTGACTATAACTCGCAATTGTGACTTTATATCACTCAATTCTGACTTTATAACAAGCAATTGTGACTTTATATCACTCAATTGTGACTATAACTCGCAATTGTGACTTTATATCACTCAATTCTGACTATAACCCGCAATTGTGACTTTATATCTCGCAATTCTGACTTTATAACAAGCAATTGTGACTTTATATCACTCAATTCTGACTATAACCCGCAATTGTGACTTTATATCACACAATTCTGACTTTATATCTCGCAATTGTGAATATATCACAAAATTCTGACTATAACTCGCAATTGTGACTTTATATCACACAATTCTGACTTTATATCTCACAATTGAAAATATATCACACAATTCTGACTTTATATCTCGCAATTGTGACTTTATATCACACAATTTTGACTATAACCCGCAATTGTGACTTTATATCACACAATTCTGAGTTTATACCTAGCAATTGTGAGTTTAATTGTCTCGCAATTCTGAAAAAAAGTCAGGATTGTGAGAAGAAAATTAAGACTTGAGAGATAAAAAATTTAAATTATATTTTTTCCATGACATCTTTATTCCATGACGGAAATAAGTGCCATTGTTAGAGGATTAGTTCACTTCAAAATGAAAATTCTGTCATCGTTTACTCAGCCTCAAGTTGTTTCAAACATGTATAAATTTCTTTCTTCTGCAGAAAACAAAAGAAGATATTTCAAAAAATGTCAATAACCTAACTGCTGATGTACCCCATTGACTGCCTATGGAAGTCAGTGGGGTACATCAACTGTTCCTATTCCTTTAAGAAAGTCTCAAAATGACTGTTTATGTATGCATTACAACAAATACTTTTGTTCTAATGTTTGTTCTCTTATCACAGCGCATTGTCACAAGCTCGCTGGCAGTTCAAAGACATGGATGGCAATTGGAAAGATTTTAATAAAGTAAATATATCTTTCTTTTTCCCCTTCTTTTTTTTAACATTTTTGAAATGATGGTTGCATCATTGCATCAAATGATGAAGTTGCTACAAGTGCATTCTTAAGTGATCTATAAGTGATTGTTTGGTAGTATTTTGCTAGAACTAATAGGCCTACTAACTGTATTAGGGTTATATATTCAGAAGCTTTCTAAAACATTTGACCTGTGTTCTTGCATAACAACACTAAGACAGTCACACCTTCTGTTCTGTGTCATAAACGTGGACTTTGTGGATGTGTAGGGCGGCTCTCGGGGACATTGCAGTGTGTCAAGTCAAGATATTGAAGCCCAGTACCAGCAGGACTCAACAGGGACAATGAGTTTCAGGACGGGCAGGTTTAACTATGAGCTGGACTTCTCAGGTGCGTTCATACACAAACCAACAGAAATAAGGTGTTAGTACAAATATTGTTTAATCAAATCACTTGTTTTGTTGCAGACATGACCCAGACCAACCAGTCCACTAACACCAGGAGACCTGTACGCCGCCTTCAGCAATAAGACCTCACTTGCCTATTCTTACGTTTACGTACTATACTTGTAGCTATATGTGAACTCAGGACTCTTGTTTATGCAATGTCTGCTAGAATATGTGATACGAAATAATGAAATTGGATTTAGTTTGTCAGTGCAGACCTGTATATTGTTTTATTAACTACCACAAAACAACAAGTCTCATGGTACTCATGTTCTTGAACTAATTTCTGTTTTTATTCTTGAAAGTTTTGTTTTTTCAATGCCTTTACTGTGATTAGAAGATTGCATGTGTAATATCTTATGATTGCATTCAGCTTTCATGTTTTTTTTGTTTGTTTTTAAAAAAAATACAACTAAGCATTATAAGGATGATATAAGACTATAAGATTATAAATTGTATCATATTTTTCCTCTTTACTGAAATGTGCTTAATTGTCATGGAAACAATGTCACAAATTAAGCTTAATTTCTTTATAAAAATTTAGATTTTGGGGTGAAACATGCACTTTTCTAGACAAATTTCATGAGATCCACTTTTGTAATGTCTGTCTACTTTCTCTTACCACTCAAGTCGTTGGTTTGTTACTGATAAACATATGATTTATTGATAAAATAATTACTATTTATTCTACTTGGGTTTTTCTGTGTTTCAATACTCAAGAAAATAAAACAAATAAATTACTTAGAAAGTGTAAAAGGTATTACCCTTTAAATAAGCAATTTATTTGATTCCAAAAATCACCATCTTTCCAACAATTCAGTTCACATTTTTTAAAAATTAAAACAACCCAGATGTTTTATCTACCTTAATTTAGACTATTTGAAAACTGCATGTAGTGAAACGCTCATACAGAAAGTTATTTTCACAATCTCCATCACAGACCTGCTATTGCACAATTCTCAACATAAGGCCTCTCATTCATAAGACCAGGAAAAGCATTCCCTTTTAATAAAACCTGTCTGGATATTAAAGATTCTCCTCAGGAAAGTGATTCATTCGTATTAAAAAAAGAAAAAAAAAGAAAAAGAAAAACTCTAAGCGGTGGCAGTTCACCTCTATATACTGTACACTTCATTCATGTTCTTTTCCAGAAATAATACACATTTTGGTGATTTGCTGTGTTGCAGCGGTTTGGTCATGATATGGAATTGAGTTCCCACAACAGGAAACTGCTGTATATAATAATAACAGACAAACAAAAATGTAGCTAAATGTAACACCCCCAAAAAACACAGCATTACAGGATAACACAGATGATTTAACACAGGGCAGGAAGTAACAGCAGAGAACGGAAAGAGAAACAAACGCATCGGGCTTCATTCATGAAACACATTTCTATGTAACTTTTTCCTATAGTTCTTGGGAAAATTCTATGTGATTTTCCCAAGAACTATAGGAAGTGCATATTTCAACCCAAAATGCACAATATATATTTTTTAACATATTAGACATATTTCTAACCTGTTGCATTGTGAAATGTACTTGACATTTAAGCAGATTTTCCACCAATTCTCATTATGCAGTGCAATAAAAGGAATTCTCAATATCATAAAACATCTCTGTATTGTAAAAAAAAAAAAGTATTTCTGTAAAAGGTAAAAAAAAAAAATTCTCATTACCGTAATGCAAAAATATTTTCATTACTGTAATCTGAAAAAATATGTAAGTGTAATACACATTCTCTCATTACAATAATGAGAATACAATGGAAATATAAAGTAAATATTTAAGTATTGTTAAGTTCTGTACTGAATTTAACAATAAGCTAACTTAAAAAGTCTTTTTTATTACAGAAAAAAAAAATCCTTGTAATTTTGTCTTTGGGTTTTGGGATGAAATATGACCCCCTTCTTCATGAGATTCGCCCCAGAAATTCATTCTGCTAGTGTTTCATGAACGAAGCCATTACAGTGAAGCACAAACTCACTTTAAAAGTACTGACAATATCCCAAAAATATCTTAAACCCTACAGGTTTTTTTAAGCTCAATTACATTAAGTGCACCTACAGTATGAAGAAAGTGTACTTCCTTTAATAAATTTCACCTCTGTGGATCATTTCTCAGTATAAAACTCAAACAATAATCACCAGATACAGTATATACACAAATAACACATTATAAAAAGACTCATTCAGGTACCAACTATGCACTGATTTATTTACTTATCTATCGCATATCTCAGACGAGAGAGAACACAACTGAGAGACCTCACCAGCAATTTCTGAGGCCATCGATGATGTTTGTTGTGGTAGAGGAAGTCAGCTCATTCAGGCGAGCAGTGAACGTGAGGCTCTAGCAAAAAGGAAATAAAACCAAAAAAGCTTGAGTTTGTAACGCCAAATTTGTTAACCCTTTTGTATGTGTATCTTTCTTCTGGGGCGCGTTTTAACCCAAACGATACACCAAATGCAAGGCATCCACCAACTGAAGCAGCTTTCGGTAGAAGAGCCCAAGCTTTCAGTACAAACATGACAGTTTGTTTGGTGCAGTTTGCTTTTGATTCACACCATGATAAGATCCCCCCCAAAAAAGACAAAAACTAAAACAAAATCATCTTTCAAGGATACCATGTCCAACCCTCCAACTAAATTTTTTACTGTCATCTTCGCTGCTGATGTTGTTTCGCTTTCGATTCCCACATAACAGGGAATGTGAACGAAAGGCATATGTTTTATCCGAAGAGGTCCTTAAAATCGTTGTTGACTGAAGCACTTTGCTTTATCATGCCAGTGTTCATTGTGGAAGAAGCCACGGGTTGCGAGAAGTTCTGGGGGTTGAAGAACGGGTTTGCTTGGACTCCAAAACCACCTTGAACTCCCGTCATCCCCATTGGAGGTGCCTGTATGGGTGCAGTCTGGGAAGGTTGGCCTGTACCAAACTGATTGAGCCACGGAGAAGGTGCAGTGGTTCCTTGGGCTGGTTTAGGGGCCATTTGGTTCAGGCTGACTTTGGGTTTATTAGAAGTGAAGAGGGAGTCTAGGGCGGACATGTCAGGGGCTTTGCCGGTTTGATTTTGGTTCTTGTTTTGGGTGAGGGCACTGAAATTTGGAGCGCTGGTAGTGGTGGCCATCCCTCCATAGAGGGCAGGAGTGGCGGGTCTCATGGCCATCACCATACCTCCCGTCTGGAATCCCATGGGTGAATTGAAGCCGTTACTGACGCCCATGGTGCCCATTCCACCCATGGTGGGTGCTGCTGGGAAGGTAGAGGAAATGGTGCCACCCTGTAGGGGCATCGTCCTAGTCCCAGAGTTTAAACCGAGGTTGTTCAGAGATGTCATATTGTTCAGAAGACTGCTGGTCAGATCCTTTGCCTAAACAATAAAAATATCAGTTTTTGCTTCAGTTATAGCATGCACATCCCAAATCAAAGTTGACCCTTTTCACAGACTGTGATGATATTTCAACAGTTAACATTGTAAATCTAGTTTTCATTTACATTTATAACACTATACTTTGTGTTATATTACCTAGGCCAGTGGTTCCCAACAGTGGTTGTCTCACTTATTGGATACCCATTGGTTTGCTAATGAGCTGATGAGTTGAATCAGGTGTGTTTGATTAGGGAGACATCTAAACTGTGCAGTGCTGGGGGTACCAGGACCATGATTGGGAACCACTGAACTAGGTCATGAACATGAACTTGCTAACAATGCTGTGGTGGTGTTTCAGCTGAGGGAGCGACGATAAGTTTGAAGAAAAAATCTTTCTCTCTTCTGATGGATGGTCTTGCTTCCTGAAGTACTTTTCATTTTCTTCATTGGGATTTAACAAGAAATTCTCAATGATAAAAAAAAACAAAAAACAAAACAAAACATGAAGCAACCAACAACTAGCACGAAGTTGAATCACCTCTGAATCACCCAAATCAGAGGGGTTTATGTACTGTTCTTACAATAAAGATTGGAGAATTACATAAATCAAATAAATAGATACAATATTTAGGGACATTTATTAAATAAAAACAATATTTTAGACCTGGTTTCACAGACAGGGCCAGGATTGGACCTTGGTTCAATTTTTCAACATTTAAGTAGCTTTTATAAAAGTGCTTTAAAAAAAAAACATTTCAGGTGTGAATCTTGAGAAAAAACAATGGCACTGATATATTTTAAGATATAACCTATCACTGCAAGTTGGTTTCAGTTAAAACTGCTCAAACATGCATTTTAGTCTTGGATTAAGATTAAGCCTTGTCTGTAAAACCGGGGGTTAAAGTTTATTGGAAAACAATCAAATATAGTAGTTTCAGCGTGTACGGCTGGCCAGTGCTTGACAATAAGGACTGCCTGATGGGCTGGGCTAGGTGCAGTCCATCAGACTAAACCTGTAGCCTTTCTAGGACTAAACTTGTAGCCTTTCTAAGCCTAAATTTGCAGCCTTTCTAAGCCTAAACTTGCAGCCTTTCTAAGACTCAACTTGTAGCCTTTCTAGGACTAAACCTGTAGCCTTTCTAGGACTAAACCTGTAGCCTTTCTAGGACTAAACCTGTAGCCTTTCTAGGACTCAACTTGTAGCCTTTCTAAGACTAAAATTGTCGCCTTTCTAAGACCAAACGTGTAGCCTTTCTAGGACTAAACTTGTAGCCTTTCTAAGCTTAAACTTGTAGCCTTTCTAGGACTAAACTTGTAGCCTTTCTAAGCTTAAACTTGTAGCCTTTCTAGGACTAAACTTGTAGCCTTTCTAAGCCTAAACTTGTAGCCTTTCTAAGCCTAAACTTGCAGCCTTTCTAAGACTAAACTTGTAGCCTTTCTAAGACTAAAATTGTCGCCTTTCTAAGACCAAACGTGTAGCCTTTCTAGGACTAAACTTGTAGCCTTTCTAGGACTAAACTTGTAGCCTTTCTAGGACTAAACTTGTAGCCTTTCTAGGACTAAACTTGTAGCCTTTCTAGGACTAAACTTGTAGCCTTTCTAGGACTAAACTTGTAGCCTTTCTAGGACTAAACTTGTAGCCTTTCTAGGACTAAACTTGTAGCCTTTCTAGGACTAAACTTGTAGCCTTTCTAGGACTAAACTTGTAGCCTTTCTAGGACTAAACTTGTAGCCTTTCTAAGCCTAAACTTGCAGCCTTTCTAAGACTAAAACTTGTAGCCTTTCTAAGACTAAACTTGTAGCCTTTCTAAGACTAAACCTGTAGCCTTTCTAAGACTAAACTTGTAGCCTTTCTAAGACTAAACCTGTAGTCTTTCTACGACTAAATGTGTAGCCTTATTATGCAAAGTCTTAGTTTAGTTAATACAAGTTTTGTCTAAGACAAACATGGTATATGGCAGCTATTGTGAATATCAAGATATGGTACCTTTTACTGTAGACGTTTATCTGGTAATTTTACTGCAAAAATGTATTCCATGCGTGAAAGTGATAATAGGTTTCCCATGGTACCCCTCTTGACTGACTGTGTTACCTGAGGTGTTGTTGTGGCTGGTTTGATGCTCTGTGGAGCAAGTGGCTGCTGACTTCTTAGTTTAGCAGCCTGTTCCTGTTCTTTAGCCAAACGCTGCTTTTCTTCCAGGGTAAGAGATACCTGAACATACCACGAACAACAGTTAGTACATCAACCAGGTCTAATGCCAACAACCATTTAAGCTCCAGAAGAAAAACCCAGTTGAGAAAAAAAACAATGCATTCCTAAAATATTATAAAATGGTAACTCACTCGTGAGAGTTGTGAAACAGTTGATGAGGAACCATTCTGGTTACCATTCACACCTGCAGTTCCTGAACTGCCACCAAAGATCTCATCAATCTATCAGAAAGCAAAGAGAAGACCCAAAGTTGCAGTTCATTTCACAGTGTGGCCACAATTAAAAGCTGTGAGTTGGTTGCTGGACGTGCAGCAGGTGTATTTACTTACATCTCTTACTTTTGTGGCTGGGCTGGGTGTGTTTTTAGTCTCTTCTGATTGGTTCAATGGGTTTGTAATGTTTAAACTCCTGGAAAAGACAATACTTATTACTCATAAGTTAACTGTTTGTTTGGATAATGCTGCACTTGTGTCATGTTCAAATTACTTTATTTATTTTATACATCTATCAGACGGCCTCTGCCTGTTAAGTTGGGCAGTTCTTGACCAAAAAAAAAGCTGCAGAATAAGCTTAATTTATTAATAAAATAATAATAATAATTGACATGACACCTCTGCTGCTCCTGCATGATGTGCAGCTGTTCTAACTTGGTCTTATGCTCCGACTCCATGCGACTCAACATGTCCTTGATCACAGCCATGAAAGAGTTAAACTGGAACACACCAGAGACAGAAAACAGTTTACAAAAGTATATGTTGTGTACACGTAATCTATACAAATGATCGGAGGAATCAAGTTTATATTTGGTGGGCAAACAATACAACACCTCAGTTTATGTGTAAGAGCGAGTGCGTGTTGTTACCCTCACCTGGTTAAGGTTAAGGTTGTTATCAATACTAAGTGACACCAGATGAGGTAAACTCTTTCCAGCCAGGTGCTCTTTTGGGATGCCCAGTTTCTTATGGGTGAAAGTGCACTTGTAGATGCCTGAAGGAAAAAGAAAGCACAACACATACATTTGTATAACTGCTTAAAGGGATAGTTCACCCAAAAATGAAAATTAGCCAGTGATTTACTAACATCATCCTAGGTGTATATGACTTAACAAATATAATCAGAGTCGTATTAAAAAAATGTCCTGGCTCTTCCAAGCTTGATAACGAGAGTGAATGGGTGTATGTCTTTGGAAGTCCATCAAAGCGCATCTATTCATGATTAAAGTGCTCCACGCGTCTCCAGGGGTTAATGAAGGTGGAGCATTTTTATCAAGAATGCTTTGCTTTGCTCTGATGGACTTCCAAAGACATACGCCCATTCACTCTCATTATCAAGCTTATTATCAAGAGCCAGGATGTTTTTTAATATAACTCCGATCGTATTCGTCTGAAAGAAGAATGTCATGTACATGGATGACTTCAGGGTGAGTAAATCATGGGATAGTTTTCATTTTTGAACTATCCCTTTAGCTAATAAGATAGGATAATAATGATTCAATTTAACGGAACTAATTCATTTTCAAATAAGATTGAAGCTTGAAAGCCTCAGACAGGCACAAAAAGTGATCAAAAAGAGTAAAAGAACAATTTAATTACCCAGAATGCCCATGAGCACTGCTGGTTCCCTGGATGGAATTTGTTGAAGGAATGGTAAAATTTCATCAATGACGTACCATTTATCCAGATATTCCAGAATCTTGCCTAGGCACACAAGAGAGTTCACCCTCACCTGAAAGAGGACAACCAACAGAGAAACTATACTCATTTTAAAGCTACTCTCCTAAATCTTTCATTGACATACATTCACTTGTTACTAGAGACATAAGAGATTTAAGAACACAAACCGCTAGCGAGGATGTCTGTAAACAGGCAGATTTGATACGAGGGATAAGTGCATTTTTCATAGATGGGTACTCAATCAGATTGGCAAACGTGGGAATGATATTCAGACAAAGTTCCTGTTTAGGACAAAAAAAATTAAAAAAAAATGTTAGATTTTGAAACACATAAATGTAAAATCTAGAAAGACATTCTAATGCATTAGATAATGAAAATTCAATCGACTGGTACTGAAATTGATCAATTAGAAAATGCAAATACATTTTCTCATCCAAACAAGTTTATGGTGTGGTCACCTGTATTTGAATAGAGGGGGCCTCCACTGCCCTGTAAACCATGGGCAGAACACTGTTCTTGATGTCTTCAGGAGGTGTTTTGGTCAAAAGCAGGTCCATCTTTTGTAGAAATATCAGCAGAATCTGGACATGTGAAAAAAAAAAAAAAAAATCAAGGAAATAATATGATTCCTAAAAGCCATTCCATGAAATATAACACTGGGGGAAAAGACAAACAAACAAGCAAAATACAATACTAAACAAAAAGAACAAAAGCATTAATTAAAAAAGAATAACTCATGAAAAACACATCAAAAGATCAGTGGAAACTATGGAAACAAACAAGTGCAGACAAAATACCATAAATAAAAATATAAAACTAATCAAAATACAAATATTATGATGAAATACACTACCACAAAGACAAAAGTTCAAACCTCACTCACCATGTTGCTGGCCTGATAGCGTGAAATAGAGAAATTAATTACAAACTTGAACCTAATGGATTACACAGGCCATTGCAAGTGCACATCAAGTGTGCCATTTATGCCGTGTGTCCACCAAAGCGTTTTTAGCGAGCTGAAAATGCCAGACGCTCTGCTGAAAACGCGAGAGCGTTTTGGCAGCGCAGCGTTTTTTTCCATTGAGACGGTTCGTTGCTATGATACAGAATATCCGCAGCACAGTTTACTTGCTACATATTTCACAGATAATTTGTTTCATACAAAAAAAATGTCATCCCTGTTGTTCGGTTAGCTCTGCTTTGATGTCATTGTACAGAAAGAATGTTGTGACAGTCGGTCGGTTGGTATTAGTCCCGCCCATCCTCCACTGTGATTGGATGGCTGGGTAAAACGTGACAGTGATGAGCGATGCGTTTTATCCAAAGTTGAACATTTTTCAACTCTCGGCGACCAGCGTGCTCAGCGTGAAAAAAACGCTCAGTGGCTCGTTTCGCTCATAGTGTTTAAAAAACGTGGCACTCCCATTGAAAACAAATGAAAACATACGCCAGGCACGTGGGAAAACGCTTTGGTGGATAAACGGCCTTAGGACAGGGCCAAAGAGGTTAACCAGAGCAAGGGGAAACAAATAAAATCAGTTTGGCATCAGTGATGTACATGTGTGTGTACCTGTACAGGCTCCTGCTGTTTAAAAACTGGGGTGAGGTCAGGGAGAACAAGGCGGACGTATTCCTCCTTAGTGCATTCCTCAGCGATGAGCAGCACGTTTGGAAGGACGAATGGAACCATGTCAGGATTCACGAACTCAGACGTGAGCGCCGGGAGGATTCTGTAAATCACCACTCTCTGACGACAGAAAAACAGAAGCCAGTTAGCTTAGGCACATATAATACCATAAAATACTTGAGCATATAAATGCACTCTAGCAACGTGTCAATATTTCTAGTCTTACACAACAAATATTCTGTATTAATATTCAAAACACACATCTTTTTTAAGTGACAATGAATTCAAAATTGAGCTTACTTTATTTTTGCTTACAACCATATGAGTGCGAAAGAAATCTCTCTCTCTCTCTTTATCTCTCTTTCTATATATATATATATTAGGACTGTCAAACGATTAATCGCGATTAATCGCATCCAAAATATATACTGTATATAGATTTATATATAATTTATATTATATATAAATATCAATATTTTATATTTTTTCTTAAATATACATGCACGTGTGTGTATTTATATATACATATATATATACAAAATAATTATACACAGTGCTTCCACATATATTATGTAAACACAAACTTTTATTTTGGATGCGATTAATCGCGATTAATCGTTTGACAGCCCTAATATATATATATATATATATATATATATATATATATATATTTCATGTATAAAATAATTAAAATAGCCCAGTTTCCACAATCAAATCAAATCCATTTTTGCACCATCAAATGAAGTGTATATATATCAGACAATTCATATATATCATATAATGTATATATCAGACTAGTGTGTGTGAATATTAAACTGCAATTAATGAATTAGGTAAAATCAGAAAAATCAGAATGCTGAAAAATTAAATCGGACAACACGGAATTTGGGAAAAAAAATAAAACAGATTTCAAAGGTTCCTGCATTTTATATTGCTATTCTCTAGATGAATGTCTTTGTGAAATGTTTGTTCTTGCCTTGGGCAACTTGGGCAGAACTTTCGGGAGGCCTTTGTAGAACTGAGACTTCTGCAAGTTGTCCCGCTGGAAAAGCGAGTCGAAGTACTGAAGAGTCATGGCTCCGACATCATCGAAAAAAGGAATCTGAACACACACAAACATAGACTGAATTGTCACTCTTACAAAATCATGTATTTTGATTCAATCAGTAGATACTTTATACCAAAAAAAAAAAAATAGAAAGTTGAAGAGAACCAGCAAAGAAGGGAAAACACTGACCTTTGTCATCTGATCTGCGTCTGGACGCACGTTGGAGGTGACGCTGAGCAACATCTTCACGTGTTCCCGGACCTCCTCTGGGATCTGACTCAAGACTCCTGGACTCAGATGGCTCAGCTACACATGATAATGTACACAAATGCGCATGTTTTAGGGTTGTCACAATTGTATAATTAGGGTACAATAAAAATTGAAGTATCACAATAACACTATTGTTCGCATGCCTTGTTTCTCATAGCAAGAGTTGAATGTTGTGGCTATTCTGTTGTGGTTTTAAAAGGGTCCTTTTATGTTTTTGTAATATTTTCAACTTTATTTAGTGAAATGTTAATTTATGAAAATGTCTACAAGGTTACAAAGCACAAAGTCCTCTCCAAAGGGAGTTCTTCTTTATATCAGTCAGCACTACGGGTGCAACGGATCACAAAACTCACGGTTCTAGTTACAGTTTTTGAGTCCTGGATCGGATCAGCAATGATCTATTTAAGACAAGTGAACAGTTGGTCATAAAATAAGAACAAATATGCAAATTACAAGCATAAATACAACAGACTAAACTTACAAATAAAGTAAGGTCTAACAGAAGTATTCAGGTACAGAAATGCAATAATTAAGTGTTAAATACCATTTTGAGTTCACTTTAGCCTCTTCTTGGACTTAAATGGTTTAAAATTGCTTGAATGTTTAAATTGGCGAGACGTTCGCTCTATGATGGTTAAACTTTGCAACTAATCTGCGCATCATGTGTGCTGAACAGCGGGGCCTGTTACGTACAAATCATGGATCAACTACGATCCGTTACAGTCCTGATTTCTGCGCCTCAGGAGCGGGTACTCGTCAGTTATGGTGAGTTACATTTCCAAAACACGCTCTAAGTGGTAGATCAATAACAACAGACTGTGGCCGGATGACCAATCAGCACAGACTGTGCTTTTTGGAAGGCGGGTTATAAAGAAACCCAAACTAAACACAGTTTATTGCAGCAACAATTTAAACTATAAGATTTAAAAATATATTTTTAGTTTTAACTATTTAACATTTGTTTGTTTTTTTTACATTAAATGATGAATTCTAGTAGACCCCATAAGAAATATTAACACATATGAGCACATTATGAATGAATAACATAATGAGCATAATAGGCCCCCTTTAATCGTTTAAAGTTCACCAATATATTATTGTTGTTTTCGTTTGATTTCATCAGTAATTATTAAATGTTGATAATTAATTCTTATGTGTGAAATTTAAAACATGATTACAAGGTTTTTTTTAAAGAATCTCTTATGCTCACAGAAGCTGCATTTATTCGATCAAAAATACAGTAACAACTAATATTGTCAAATATTAAAATAAAACAAAATAGGACAAATTTAAAATATTAATAGCAACTGATAATGAATAAATGAGCAACAAATCAACATATTAGAATGATTTCTGAAGGATGTGAAACTGAAAACTCAAGTATTGATATATTACAATAGAAAACAGTTTTTAAAACTGTAATAATATTTCACAATATTTCACAATATCACAATATATTTATTGTATATTTTGATCAAATAAATACAGCCTGGGCGAGCAAAAGAAACTACTTAAAAATATAACACATATATACATATACACACCGGTATATATATATATATATATATATATATAGAGAGAGAGAGAGAGAGAGAGAGAGAAGATATATATATATATATATATATATATACTGGTAGTGTATATTATAAAATGCTGTTTTAGGACAAATGGGAAGGTAACATGCTTTAAAACAGGACGATAATTCAACAGGTGTAAAGAAAGGAGTCGGCTGCTCACCTGGTCCAGTTGTCGGCTGAAGCTCTTGTATATGTCTTGCTTGTTGACGTGAAAGACGGCCTTGCCTTCATTAAACACGGCGTGGACCAACACCCCCAGTGAGTACATGTCAGAGGACACGTCACAGCTGACGGACAGGATGTACTCAGGAGCGACATATTCTGGGTTCGGGAGGCAGAGAGGCGGTAGATTGGGGTCCCACTCTTTACACCCATACTTGGGCTAAAAGGCAGAAACACACAGACACATATTTGCTTACAAAGTTTCAACCAGGCAGACAATGATCTCTGGGACAGTTCCTAACCTCAGCGTCAGACGGGTTACTCGAGGAGATACTGAAGTCAAAGCCCATGATCTTCCAGGCTCCGCTCTTATTCAAGATGATGTTCTCTGGACACAAGTTACCATGAACCATCTTAACCCCACTGTGCAGGAACGACAAACCCTCTGTGACCTGAGAGAGACAAAGAGAGCGATATCTCGTCAGCTACAAATCTAAAACTAAAAGCATGGTAGTATTTCATGCACTGCATTCATTTTTATTGTAAAAAAAAGTATTATTTAAAACATGTATATATATATATATATATTTAAACAATGTTTAATTTTATATTTAATATAATTTATATATTTAATATAAAATAAGATTTATTTTATTATTTCAAATAAAATGAACGATCATTACATTACTCTATTACAATAAAACGTTCACTCTACTGACATATTGCTAATTACCACATACAATTATTGTAAACAAATCATAAATCTTGTCCTTTGAGGGTTTTTTTACTAAAAAATTCAGCAAAAATAGCATTCACAACAATGAAGTAAACAAGCAATCAAAAGCAGAAAATGTAATCTTATAATTGTGTTAAATGGCACTATATGAATTATTTAGTAAAAACAGTAGTTTCTAATTTTTTCTTTTCCATTCTTGGCTGATTTATGACCTCTAAAGTCAGGTGTACATGGTACGATTTGCTGTTGTATCTGCTTTATCTCCCGTATAAGGAACTCTCACCTGCAGTAAGCCGTATTTCGTCTCTACATCATAGAGTTTGTATTCTTTGATGTCTGTGGGAACAGGACTAGGGAGATTGTCCCATTGGCCGAGCACATTGGCTAGACTGGCAAACACGGGCTCTGTGCAGAACGCCAGACAGTCTCTAGAGATAAACAGACAAAGACATCCAGTGAGAACAGCATCGACAGTCACAGACAGATACAATTCTCTCTGTGTCACTATCATTCAGGGACATTATTTTAAATAATGTTAATTTGATCCATTGGATTATGCACTTTTTGGCTGTGATTTGTTTAAGATTTTGCAGCCTTAATAGCCTTGTCGTATCTAGTGTGGACTGCGGACAGACAAACTGCTTGCCACTGAATCTTATTAGATTGTGTTTAGTTGCGATAAGGTGTTAGAAGATATTCTGCCTGTGTTAACTGTAACATCAGGGCCATAGCTTGAGTCTCACATCTAAGAGATCCATGTATTATTCAGGAGAGATTTTCCACAGGATGAACTCCTGCATCCACACAGACACAAATTGATTGCAGAAGCACGAGAAGAAAGAAAAGCTCTGAGCTCTTTTATCAAGAGAAGACTCTTTACTCCTAAAGCTTCATATCAGTTTTATTTCATTAAAAAACTCATTTGACGTGGATAAGACTGTGGTGGAGCTGACCTAAATGGCATCATAAGCATATTCATCTAAGCTTCCCATGTAGGCAGATTTTGTGGTAGCATGCGTTAATGCGTGTTCACGTTGTGGTCACCTGGACTCCTCCAGCGGATGCTGGACCGTGAGGAGGCGCGGGTGTCGTAACCGGGTCAGCTGTTGAACTCCTTTCTTTAGGGAATCAATAATCTGATCCTTCTCGAACTTCTGATAGCGATCAATGATCTTCTTATCGAGCACAAAAACTGCCACTTCCTGTGGGAAACAGAAAGAACATTTATTGCAAAATATTTGAATGTGTATTTCATTTGCATGCAACAAATTATTTATTTTTTTAAAATTAAATTTAGATTTACTTTGCAAAGCATATCTGTACACTCAACAAATAATTATAATATTTAAATTTATATTTATTTTGCCACTTATCTGTAGACCTGCATATTCAACAAATAATTAAAATATTTTAATTAATATTAATTTTTCACTAATACATCTGGAAATTCAACAAATAATAAAATATTTTAAATTATATTTATTTTGCAATAATACATTTACATCTGCACATTCACCAAATATACAAATATTTCAATTTATATTATTAAATATTAATTATTAAAATATTTACATTTATTTTAAAACAATTATGTCCATCTGCACATTCAGCAAATAATTAGCCTCAAATATTTAAATGTATATCTATCTATTTTGCAACAATATGTACATTTGCACATTCAAAAAATAATTAAAATATTTAAATTTATATTTATTTTGATGCAATATGTGTGCATATTCAACAAATAATTAAAATGTTTAAATTAATATTATTTTTTCACTAAAAACAAATAATTTAAATATTTTAAATTATATTTATTATGCAATAATACGTTTACATCTGCAAATTCACCAAATATACAAATATTTTAATTTATATCTATTTTGAAACAATATCTGAACATCAGCACAGTCACCAAATTATTAAAATATTTAAATTTATATTTATTTTAAAATAAATATGTCCATCTGCACATTCAACAAATAATTAGCCTCAAATATTTAAATGTATATCTATCTATTTTGCAACAATACGTACATTTAACAAATAATAAAAAATATTTAAATTTATATTTATTTTGCAATAGTATATGTACATCTGTACATTCAACAAATAATTTATAAAAAACTATTTAAATTTATATTTAATTTGAAATCATACATGTACATTAAACTAATAATTTATGAAAAAATATTTATTTGCCATAAATATCTGTTTATCTGCATATTCATGAACAATAAAAAACAAGCATACTTAATTAGCAATAATTAAATGTATTTAGGAATATATCAACCTGTAACTTCTAGACTATTACAAATCATTCACAATCTGAAACAAAACCACACATTTATTAGCCAAATAAATTATTTAATCACGTTGACATGAACAGAATTTACTTCAACAATACTAAAAAGAAAACCATCAAAGAAAACCAAAAACGTAGGTCTTAAAGCCATAAAAAAACATGTATATCAACAAACGTACAATGGTGGCAATGTGAGGAAGCAAGCGACAATTCTGTCATGACAATTGCATCATTTAAAGACTTCCTCTTTCACTGTAAACAACGTACCAACGTCTAACATGATCGTGTCCTAACAATCATGACAAGACTGACAGAGTTAAAGTTAAAGTAATAAATAACTGGCGCACCTGTTTGGTGGATTTTTTAGTGCCGTTGTAGATCCTCCAGCTCATTCCTGGACCCCCGCTGGCGATGTGTCGGCCCACCTCAAACTCACGGGTGACAGGGTTGCCCATGATGGTGCTGGTCATGTCGGCCGTCACCTTAGTGACGGTGCTTTTTAGTTTATTGAGCATGGACTCCATGATTTTACTGGCTGCTCACCTGAAACAGGAAGTAGCAACACAGTGCACCACAGTTCTGTTGGTCAAATACACAGCGAATAGGATGAGCTCAGGGTTATTATCATTAACCGAATCTATTTTAAAAAATTGTTGATTGAAATAAAGACAAAATAATACAAAACATGGATATTAGATGAAAACCTTAAACTTATTTTAGGTATTTGCCAAAGGAAACTTAGATTAAAAATAAAAAATTAAAAATTAAACATATATATAAGTAATAGTAATATATGTATTTATATTTTTAAACTAGAAGAAATGAAAAAAGCTAGTTTAACAGTTAGTGTTCATGAATAATAATAAAAAAATCTGTACAAAGCAGGTGATAAACATTTTGAACCCCATTGCCTTTCATTATATGCACAAACAACAAACAAAACAATTTCCTGAATATCTGTTGACCCTTTTAGAATGAAATCTGTGTGTTTACAAGCTGCTGAACTGTCCAGAGGTCATCTTTGATTGACTTTACAGTCTGGGAATGACTCAAGTGTATGGCTGACCCTAAACTGGCTAGTTTTACTAGTAGGCTGCTGTGTAGAAAGAAATAAAGCGACAGAAATAGACTTAAATTCATCTGAAAATCTGTCACTGCGAATTCTCAGCAGGGGCTGAGCGTTCCTGGGTCAAAATAAATGATGCATTCATGCTGACAGCATGAGAGAAATAAGAAATGCACTGTTTTGTCAGCTGCACACATCAAATAGTCTCTTATAATAGTTGTTTCAACACTGTAAAGTGGATCTGGATTTAGAGGAGATATCACAAAACAAATAGAAGAGTAAAAATAAAAATTATAATCAATTCTGACCAACTTATGTTACGTATAATAAAGAACAATAAACCAACATCTATTAATATTAGTTAAAAGTTTGATAATTATATATCCTAATCTGTAAATGCAAAACCAACTACAAAACAGTAACTAATAAAAACCTACTAAAAATGAAATTAAACAAAATTTAAATAGAAATATGCCCAATTTAATGTTATTACTATGGCAAGTATATTGTAAAATAGTAGAAAGTACTATTAGTGAGGTTATTATTATTACTAAAACCATAAAAACATGTTAATTTCTTGAAATAAATTAAGAAGACATGCAAAGGCAGGCAACAACTTACATTTTTGTTTAGGTTGAAGTACTAAAATACCTCAAATTGACTGAACATTATATATTTAAGAATAACAACAGAAATGGAAAAAAAAAAATGACTGAACATTTAGCCTAATAAAATATAGGCTAATTCAAAATATCAACAACAACTATAACAGACTAAACTGACACTAAAATAACACTGACTAATAGAAAGTAACGTTACTACTAAAATAAAGTAGTAAGTTACCACATTTAATCATGAATTCGGTAGTGAAATTAAACCATTAAACATCAAAGCATCATAAGAGAGTGAATTATAAAGAATATCGTCATTATTATTCAGAATAGTGTTATTAATATCTGTGCTTGTTAAAAGGAAGTCACACATTGGCATCATTAGGAAGGGTGTGACGTTTTTAGCATTTAATGAATGAAGTTTGAGACTCAATGACATAAGTTGACAAGACTTTACTGGCGTAATAAACTGCCCTTTACCATCAAAATGTAGCTAACATCAGCGTTTTGACACTAAAAAACCACAGGAACGTACAAAAATTAAACTGATATCAAAAATGCTGTCAACTCGAAAGTAGGCAGTTGGTTTGGAGACACAGACAGAGACGTTTAAATATTAATGTCAATATTTGTGTTTCTCAAGAAGACAAAACACTACAGTATTAATTGGGAATCAATTATAGTTGAGAAACCAACTAAAATATAAATATATTATTATCTTCATAATGTAAACACTCAATAAATCCCGACAGCAGCTGAGCTAACAGGCTAATGCTAAAGGAGTGAAGCGTCACTACACATAACCGATCAATAACCGCCGAATACAGTCTCAGGATCAGTATCCAGCTCATTAACATATAGACTTCAGTCTTACCTTTACGCTAGAGGAGCTGACAGAGCGACTGAGTGATTAAAACCAGGATTTAGACAGTAACAAAACCGTCAGCAGTGGTGGTGGCTAGCAGCCTCCATGACACTTCATCAAAACACCTGAGAGATTCCGCTGTGTGAAGCCGGACGAAAGAAACACTCGACGCGTCAACGAGAATAATCTGTGTTAAAAGTCATTGTGTTCAAAATACTATCCATATCGCCTCACTTATAACTCTTTTATCTTCTCCTGAGATTGATTTGCTTTCTGTGTGGGACCTCATACAGCCGATGATGATTATAATAATAAAATTTACCTCAAAATTGTTACGTTAACCTTACCTAGTAGCCCAATATTGTTGAAAGTATGGGCACATCTTTCAAAATGTTCAAAGCCTGTAACAATTGTTTATAATAATCTCTCATAAAGACAGTAAATTGAACCTGCAACTTAAAAAACAACACAAATCTTTTTTGGAGCTTTTGCAAGTATTTTAATGAGTTTTAAATTTCAGAAAATTAAAGTGCATCTACAAAAATCTAATACAATACAAGAATTAATCAACTTCATTAGTTCAAAGTACCAGTAATGCAATTTAATTCACTTTCTGTTCAAGTACATAATAAATACCATTGATATGCAACACCACATTTAATCCAGTGCATTCAGTCATCGTTTTAGAAGTTAAAATAACTTTTGCAATTAAATATTCCCTTTGTATTTCTAAATAATTGCCTATTATGAATCAGAATAATTACACCTTATTATGCTACATTTTTCAATACAAATACATTTAAAATCAGAATATGACATTTATATGAAGTACAGTGGTATATAAGGTCAATATTCATTAAAAAGTAAGTAAATTAATGATCCAAAAAAAAGAGCATAATATGAATCTTTACCTTTAAGGCATAGGTATCCATTTCTCAATTTCAAGTGCAGCTAAAACTAGCTCTAATAGCTTGAAAAAACCTGAGTATATCGCACAATTCAAGTAATCCTAAACTGAGGTGAAAAAAGTATCTGACCTGATTAAAGCTGTGTAGTGTTCAGTGGTGATTAACGTTTTCATTATAGTATTAATACGTGTAATAACTGTCCTGCTTATAAAGCTTCAATGAATCAGTAACTAATCCATTACTTAGTTACTTTTTATAGAAAGTAATGTTACGTTACTTTTGCATTACTTTTTCTCAGCTGGGCTGGGCTTGCTTGTTTGTTTTATAAAAAAAAAAAGCCATTTCAACGCTAAATTGAAATGAAGACGATTTAGGCTGAAGGAAGCGCAGTCAATAAATGGGAAAGTTAGCTGTTACCTATGTGAAAAAGTAACTTATTGTAAATTCAAAAGTAATCCGATACTTTAATAGTTACTTGAAAAAGTAATCCGATTATTTAATTTACGTTAGTTGTAATGCGTTACATCAAACACTGATCACATGAACCAAACTTAATCCTAACCCTATAGTAAGTATATGAAATTATGACTATTACTCAGTACTTAAATGTATAATTACACTGTAACAAGGGCAAAGAAGTGTAACCCACAGTTCTGCAAGGTTAGTAACCCTAATCTTCGAATTGCTATATTAGGTTAAAATGCCTTCAATTAATAAAAATAAGTTTAACAAACAAGTTCAACGCTACCTGACATAATTCTATAACCTGGGATTTCTAACAACCTTCACGGACTAACAAACTATGTTTATATCCAGTGTTCATTACTTTCTAGAATGTAGAGAAGAAGTGCTGGAGGAAAATCCCTGGGTGATGTTTCTGAAACTGTTTGACCAGTCTTCTCTTCTGTTTGACGGACAGGTCGTCACTGAGAGCGATGTGGTGCATTAACTGCTTTAAGTTGTCAAGAGTGGCCTTATCTTTGTTATCCTCATACTGCTGGAGCGACACCTGCTGGCAGAATGTGAACACTGCAAAGGAAAAAGAAGTAGCTTCAGGAGATGGGAATCAAATCAATGCGTAAATCACTTGTATAGGGAGACTATAGGTGAACTTACGTGCTATATTATCTAGGTCCTTCCCTTGCTGCGAGGTTTGTAGTGTCTTCCTCACAGCCTCAATCAATGACAACGGGGTCTAGATGCACAGAACGAAAAGGTATTGAAACATTCTGTGATTTGAACAGAACTTTCAGATAACGTATTTGTAAAAAGGGCATACCTTAAAGAGTTGAGTGTGATTATCCATGAGGAACAGCAGGAGTTGCTCACATTGGACTCGAGTCATTTCTTTACTCTGGATCACAGCCTTCACAAACGTCTTGCTGACCAAAGCACGGTTCTCAATCTGTTTCAACACAAATGTGCCAGTGCCTTTATAGTACGCATTCAGATGTTTTTCTTCTTAATTCAAACATGTTAAAAATTCTAAAATATTCAATACATTTTAATAAAATTTTATGATATAATAAAATACAATATTTATATATATATATATATATATATATTTTTTTTTTAAAGAAATGAATGCTTTTCTTCAGCAAGAATGCATTAAATTGATGTGACAGTATTTATAATTTTTTTATTTATATTTTTATCTTTAATATACTTATTTATATTATATGAAGCAGCTCAACTGTTTCCAACATGTTTCTTGAGCAGAAAATCAACGATTTCTGAAGGATCATGAAAAATCATCTGTGCATCACAGGAATAAATCATTACAAATACATTAAAATGGAAAATGGATATTTTAAATTCACAAAATTACTGCTTTTACTGTATTTTTTGATCAATTAAATTCAGCCTTGGTGAGCAAAAAGACTTTTGAATGGTAGTGTTAGTGTATAATACAATAATTAATGTTTTTTGGAGGAAAAAGGCTAAGATCTAACACATCACTTTTTTTAGTAGGAATTACAAGAGCGCATGCATGCACACACACAAACACAGTTGATCTTTGAACTTGATTAGAGATCTATGCTGTCAGAAAATGGTTTATCAATCAATCGATCTCACGCGATGGTTTAAACATCTCTTGATCACCTGCTTGTGCAGTCTGAAAGCTTCATTATCTGCAGCGGTTGCCATAAAGCCCAACAGTCTGCGTAACTCGTCTCTGCTCGTGGACTCCAACATCTGCAGACAGAGCTGAGTCGCTCTCAAAGCATCCTGACCTCTCCCACAGTCTACACACAAAGATCATTCTAAATAACCCAGAAAGAATGAACAGCCTTGAACACAAACGACACTGAACCCATTGAGTTTTACAACTTACCCAAAAGATGTAGGATTCCAGTCTGGATGTCGGTGTAGCGGCCTGGCAGTAGTGGAGGTCTCTCTGGGCTGGTGTAATACTTGGCGATGGTGTCGAACAGCAGTCTCTTATGCTTCCCCTCCCCAGATGATGTATTCTGCTGGATGAGCTGCTCACTGGCAACCACGATTAACTGATCTGGGAACAGCTCAAGACAATCAACCGCTGCCACCAGCCAAGAGTCCAACCTTGGAAGAGATGAATGACCCCACATAAAAAAACATGAATCTGAATGTGACGGCACTGAGTGTTATTGTGCACTGACTCATGAAGGTTGAGACTCTCTGAGACTTCACGATCCACGCAGGTGTTGGAGATGACCAGGTCGCCGTGGTGGTGGCGCAGAGATGAGCGCAGGGGCTCTGGTTTCACAGGCGAGGTCAGAATACAGTCCAGCATGGAGATCTCAACCACCTGTAGCAACTGAAGCAACGTCTGCTTCCTCCAAACGTCCCGCACCACTGAGACAAACAGAAGAGAAGAGTTAGCAAGTCATTCATGCTTCTGCACTGCTGTCTAATCGTTTATCAGTGTTTTTCATTTCGTTTTGTGTCTTTAAGACACGGCAAGTTAAAACTAGTTTAAAAGATGAGTTTTAGCATGTTTATGTATATTGTGCTAAAACCCATCTTGTAAAAGGAACAAAAACCCTTTTTGGTGAGTGTTTTATTTTAACTTTTGATTTTTGCTATTTTTTGATTTAATAAATGATTCATTAACACACAAACACCCTAAAGATCTACTACGAACCTCAGTCTGGGAAATTTATTATAAATAAATAAATTTATTTATTTATTTATTATATTTATTAGTGTATACTGAACAGCAGTTCAGTATACACTAATAAATATAATAAATAAATACATTTATTTATAATAAATAATAAATTATTTAATTAATTGTTAAACTAATAAATAAATTTCTAATAAAAATAGAAAGTAAAACAATACAAGGAGCATTGCAAAAATAAATGTCTCTGATATTAGATATACACTCTACACGGTTCAATAGTTTTAAATGGTTGAAGGTTTAAAAAAGCATCGGACAACATCAGACCTGAAATAAAACCAATTTAGACCTCAACATACCTTCAAGAAACCAAACCTTTCAGACACATTTTGATCTCAACAGACACCAAAATCAGACTCTATTAGACCACAATACACTACATTCAGAACCCCAAGAAACCATTTGAATCTTTGCTCTTTCCTCAGGCCCATTCAGAACTCATCAGAGACAATAATAGACTATATCTGAACCCCAAGAACCATTACACCACACAAGACATTGAAGAAAAAACACTTAAAACCTCTTCAGACTCATTTACAACTCAACAGACATCAAATCAAACCCCCTTAGACCCCCTCAGACCACAATAGACTACCAGAAAAAGCCATAGTTTTGAAAGGCTATGAAATGGACAAACACTTAAATAAGCTCCACCCCAACTTATTTACATTACTATATCAGCACACTCACAGTGAGGAAATGTACTTCTAACAGTTCTCCTGATAAGTGAATACAACACATGTTTGTGTGTTCAAAAAACTTTAAATGCGAATGCAATAAGGGGAAGAAATGATGTTCTTTAAAAATCTAAATCACGAGCAGTTTCACCTTTTTTTGAGAGGAAACTGTTGGAAATTGCAGCACGATGTAGATCAGAGGGCACGGATGGGTGCAGGTTTATATTCTTCAGTAGTCTCTCCACTCTTCTGTCTGATGATCCAAGAACCAAAGGGTTGGAGATCGTCTGCATTTCTCCAAACCTACAACATGAAACACTTAAGTACTGCAAATGAAACTTTTCGATGCGTCAATGATTCAAAAGCAATTACCTTGAAGAGGTCTTCCACTTTCCAGTTTGTTTGTCAGGAGTTTGGTTCTCACTGCCACTGTACCTCCTTTTGGCCGATCCGTCCAGGAAGCGGTAAAGGCTGCAGCTGGAATCCTCAAAGGTCATTTCTTTTTCTCGTCTGAAGAGCTTCATCCCGATGGGTTCAAACACTCTAGACTCCATTAATGCTTGGCACAGCCTGGCAGCTTTGAGACGGGACACTTCGCTGGAGCAGAAATAGATGTTCTGCATGAGGAGGCTCAGAACCACGTCCACCGCGTCGGAACCGGTGAAGCAGTCATGATGGATGCGCAGGTGCTGTCTGCGGGGTCGGAGCTCCACCTGCGACCGCAGGGCTTCAATGATGTTCTGCCAGAGCTGGGTGGCCCTGAAGGGGCCAGAGAAACCTAAAAGACATCAGGACAAGATGATGACGTCTTCATACATGAACAAAAAGTAGCAAAATAGACCCCAAAATGACATTTCCACTTTAAATTGTTATAAATCTTGGATATGTTGGAGCAGAGACCTAAGTTCGGTCTCTTTTTACACTTGCCAAATTATTGTATAAGTGAAAAAATATATATATATATATGAAAGGGACATTTTAAAAAATAATAATAGAAGTTGAAGTTCATGAAAATGTAAATATAATTATTTTAATTTTATATAAAATATACGATGTGATGAGGCGTGTTGGAAGATGAGTGCTTGAACCCTAACCCCACACTGATTTTTTTTTTTTTAATTAAGTTATGAAGTAGTACACTTCAAGTGCACACTCAAAACAATTATTTTCACAAAGAGTGGTATTATCATCTGATATATCACTATACCTTTCCAACACTTTTATACTTGTGTCTTTATAAATTAACCGTCTACTGTATAAATAGTATAATAATGCTGTTTCAATATAGTTATGACGCAAACACGTTTACATTAAGCACAAAAGACTCGGTTCATTTACATTAATATAAATTAGCTAGTTTAAAACTTGTTATTTAATATGGGATGCTAAAGAACTCAATCATAACCGAAAAATAATGAAAACACGGTTTAAATAAAACTGTTTAACTTAGCTGAAAGATCTGATAAGGATCTTGATTCATTAACGTTAGTTCGTTATCAAACTGATGGAAATATAACTTAAAAGTAACGTTTAAAAACAAATTGTACATAAATATAAAGGCTAAGTTCATATAAACCGTTTGTTTATACCTGACAGTTGTTTATTCTCTCTGAAACAGGTTTGACTGTTCAGTCGTCTGAACCGAGGAGTCAAATCCACCGCCATCGCGGCACCGGAAATGACGTCATGTGCCCATTCTCTGACGTACATCGGTGCGACGAAGCTCTGATCTGGGATCAGCTGCAGTTTGTAAGACCGAATTTACATTCTGCATGTTTGTGTGAATGAATCTGATTCTAGAACGCTGTGCTGTACTACTATCGTGTAAACTCACACGCAGAATTTACAAAGAAAGTGGAACTGTACCGGTAATAACACCCACCTTTATTGGTACTCTAGTTATTGTTGCAGAAATAAGATACTTTCCATCGTTATTTTCCCCTTTATTTTATTATGTTTTTCTGTTATGTTATGTTATATTATGTGTGTGTGTAATCCTTTATATTAGATATAGGATATGCTTTCATATAAAGGATTTTGAACAGAATTAAACCAAATTATTTATATATTATATATTTATATTTAGTACCTTTAAATGTCGATACAAATTCATAATTCACATACTAGAATTAGAATGACGTAGTATTATCTCTAGCTATTCAATTGACATACGGTGAATACGAGGAAATTCTGTGTGTGTGTGTGTGTGTGTGTGTGTAATATAGAGATGAAATCATTACATATTATAGAATTATTATTATTATTCAATTGTTTAAGAATGGTTTCGTTTCCACACGAGGACGAGTGAGATTGAGTGAGTATGTGAAAGTGTTGCGGTGACTGACTCCGACTGACACGTCAACATTAGTAATCATACATACTGTTTAATCTGGCTCACTCGCCCTTATCGTGTTTCTACTTTATTTGAGTCTGAATATCAATTTCAAGATATTAAACACGACTCTTTTGTTTTGAGAGGTCTGGACACCGGCTCGCGTGGGCTCTCCGGCATGACGTCACAGAGGGACACTCCACTCCACGCGACAAGTGTAGACAAGATGGCGCTCGCTGATGTGCCACAGAAGTAACCAGTGCTTGACGAAAAATCAGGTTAGTGAAATATCACCTATTTTAAACAGCTCCGAACTAATCGCGTTTACACCAGTGGCGGAAATAAAACACAATCAGTATATTTCACTCGCCCAGCACCTCAGTCTCACTCTTGCGCTGTGTAATTTTAGCATTAGCACACTAGCATCCCGTGTGTTGGTTAAGTTTCCTCTATAACAGGCTCATTAGAGACACTAAAAAGGCTGAGCTGCTGCTCTGAGCTCAGCTGTTAACCGGGTTAGCTCTTTGAAACCATAGACGAAGGAGTTAGTTAGCGCCACCAATCATCATTCACCATTCGCGCGCCTAAACACCTTCAAAGTCAAACTGAGTTTAACTAGTGAAATGAGATCAATTTGGTTGTCTATCCTCGATTAAATACGATACCAGAATTGAATCCGCGTAAAAGCAGAGTGATAAAGACAAGTACTGACTTGTAAAAACAACTTTTACAAAAGCAATGTACCATAGGGATATTCAACCTTCTAAATAAGACTAATGCCAACAAACTAGGTATATTACTAGTGTGACTAGTTTGTTTTTGTTAAACACACGTGGGCCCCCGAGGAGCTGAGTGTTATTTTGGACGTGACACAGATTATCAGGCATCTGTGAAGCTAAATAAGGGACATTTGCATTTGCGTAAGCCGAGTTGTTTACATGCGAAGCCAGTTATTTACTGATGTTTAAGGTGCCTTATTTAAGTTTTAAAATATGGGGATTCTTTTGAAGCATCAAAATACTGTCGTGTTTTTTGGACAACACCATAGGGAATACTTTTTTTAAATATACATATACCATTACATGTACAATGTAAATACTGTGGTATTTTGAGGGACATGTAAATACCATTTTATTTGAATATACCCCTTGAATATAGTGATATGTTTCAAAATACTACAGTATTTCCAGTTGGTTTGCTTGTATACAATGGTTGGATCTTGATAATGATAATACTTTTTGAATTACCTTGGAAGACCTTGAAATGGTAATCACTCTGTATGGTGCAATTCACTCTACCTAGGTAATACTTTAGAAATACAGACATTGTTAGTTTCTATGTGGTCGCTCTTATTTGTGTGTATGTAATGACGGAAATAGATTTTTCCTCCTGTTGTGTCAGATCAACCATGCTCTTGAGCAATAGTTTTATGATGATGGTTGTGTTAAATTGCTGTCTTCATATGATATAATGTACACTGTCTATCTCAGAGTTAATTTGATACAGAATCACTAAGTCACAAATTACTGAAGAAGACCTTGGCTTGTACCGTCACACATCACAGAAATTTTATTTTTACATTTTTGTAAGAATGATAAAGTTGTTACTGTCACTTTAAAAAGAAACAAATCTTACCGACCTTTAAAATGGTTGTGTGTGTGTACTGGAATAATGAATGATATGTCTTTAAAACAACATGCATCCATCTTCTCTTTTTTTTTTTTGCTGCAGATTAACCATCATGCCTTGGGAGGAGCTGGTTTCGCTGCTGGCTGCCGTCACCACGGTGATGTGAAGAGGGGCAGTGACTGACTGTGATGGACAGGTGTAAGCACGTGGGTCGCCTAAGACTCGCGCAGGACCACTCGATCCTAAACCCGCAGAAATGGCACTGTGTGGACTGCAACACCACAGAGTCAGTGTGGGCATGTCTCAGCTGTTCACACGTAGCGTGCGGACGCTACATAGAAGAACACGCGCTTCAGCACTTTAAGGTATGTGTTACATGCATGTAATTGATGTATTGTGTAAAGCCATGTAAATAATACATGCAGCATCAAATAGTTAAATTTAGTTTATTTTTTAAGGAAAAAAGTATTGATTCTTTTTTTTTCACATTAAAATGCTTGCTCCCATCTCAGCTTAAATTGCAGCATCAAGTAATTTATTGGTTGATCTTGAAATTATGCACTTTACCTTTAGATATAAACGTGAATATCCATAAAAAAGTTTTTTAAACTTATCACACTGTCTTATAAGGATGTAGATATTGTATTCAATTGAAGTGTGATTTGTTCATAGGAGCAGCATCACCCTTTGGCCCTGGAGGTGAATGAATTGTATGTTTACTGCTACTTGTGCGACGACTACGTGCTGAATGATAATGCCACGGGTGATTTAAAGCTACTGCGTAGCACGCTAAGCGCCATTAAGAGCCAGTGCTATGAAGTCACCACGCGCAGCGGGCGCACCTTGCGCTCATCGTCCGCCGCCGGAGACCCGCTGTCAACCAGCACGCAGGAGCTGCAGTTACGCGACGAGGACCGCATGTTCACGGCGCTGTGGCACCGGCGCCGCACTCTGATTGGTCGCGTGTTCCGCTTGTGGTTTGTGCAAACGGACCGGGGGAGGACGCGATTGGAGGAGGAGCGGCAGCAGGAGGAAGAGGAGGAGAGGAAGCGGGAGGCGCGGGAAAGGCGGCGGCAACTCAAGCGGCAGCTCAAAGAGGAGCTGGAAAGCGCACCTCCGAGGAAGAGCCGTCGGATTCGTCGGCAGAGCCTAAAGGCAGATTCTGCGGATCCCGCGGCAGTGCCGGCCAATAGAACCAAATCTGTGAGGCGTAGGTCTGCTCCTGCTCGCGTCCCCACCCGTACTTCACGAACTCCTAGAGAGAGAACGACTCAACAGAGGCAGCGTCCACAAGCCAAGGCCAAACGGCCCCGGGCTCAACCCCCTAAAACAGGGGATTCGCCTATCAAACGGCGACCCACCGTAACTCCAGGAGTGACGGGTTTGCGCAATCTTGGCAATACTTGCTACATGAACTCGATTTTGCAAGTTCTGAGTCATCTGCATGTATTCCGGGAGTGCTTTTTGAGACTGGACCTGAACCAGGCGCTGGAACTGCTAGCCTCTGCCGTCAGCCGCAAGTTAGGGCTCTCGGCTCAGCGCGTGACCCAGCCCAAAGCCTCTACCCAGTGGTCGGGGCTCAGCGGAGGGGCCTCCCGTTCACGAAACATGGAGCTCATACAACCCAAGGAGCCCAGCTCCAAACACATCTCGCTTTGTCACGAGTTACACACACTGTTCCAGGTTATGTGGTCAGGCAAGTGGGCTCTGGTGTCCCCATTTGCAATGCTGCACTCCGTGTGGCAGCTGATCCCGGCCTTCCGGGGTTATGGACAGCAGGATGCACAGGAATTTCTTTGCGAACTCTTAGATAAAGTCCAGCATGAGCTGGAACGGACCAGAACGCTTACACCTGCAACTGTTCCAGCCAATCAGAGACGGCTTATCAAACAAGTGCTCAGTGTGGTCAACACCATCTTTCATGGCCAGCTCCTCAGTCAGGTAATGGGTTTCCAGATAATCACATCAGTTGATTAACATGAAACATTAGGTCAGCAACAAACTCTATGCAATTGCACAGACTTAGTCAAAGCACTGCAAGGGTGCTTAAAGTGTTGGTTCAACCAAAATTGAAAATTATTCTATATTTACTCACCTTCAAGTCATCCTAGGCGTGTATGACTTTCTTCTGTTCATCCAAACACAATCGGAGTTGTAGTAAGCTTTAAGGGTTAATGAATGCCTTCTGAAGCGATGCGTTTATGTAAGGAAAATATCCATATTTATAACTTTATAAACTATAATAACTGGATTCCGGTACACGAGTCTAGTTCCAGCGGAAGAGTGACCTCTGAGATGACCCTTGACATACTGACGAACGCGGAAGCATGGAGGATACACCAAAACTAACACCGGTCTGGAATTAGAAGTCTAAAATGAGAATTTTTAAAGACAAATGTCGGATGAGCTTGAGTTTGTTCCCCAGCCCTGTTTGTTTGAACTGCGAGAGTCGTCTACACTAACCTAAGCTTACGCAGAGACTATTTATATAGAGACATGCCACTTCCTCAATCCTTAATACAACTATATATGGAAAACCCGTAACACCAAAGATGGCGGTTCCCTCCCGCTGGAAAGCCAATCGTCTGCTTTTAACAGTCAAGCCGGGGAACATGTAAGCCTATCGTCTGGTTCCACCGAGTTGAGGTTTGCGACAGCGGAAAATATGTTACTGTTTGAAAAGGCGGCAGATTTGATATGTGTTAGTTGTGTAAATATCAGACATCCCAAGTCTCCCGAAAGTTCAGAGACCGCAAATTAGTTCAAATGTCCCGGAATCTAGAGCGAGCGAACCGTAGTGCGCGCACAACAGAGAGCGAGAGAACCCTTGCGCATGTGCAGTAAAAGCATAACCTGTGGGAAAAGGCATTTTAATTATTTGCCGCTTTGTCCCTTATTTTGGGGCAAAGTCATCAAACTTTTTCAGCGATTTTTATCATATGTTATTACTGTTTCTATACAAGCAGTTTTTATGTCCCGGAGACCTGCGAAAGTGCAGTTCTGAGTCTCTGCCCATTCATTTAGATAGGAGCCTGGTCTTGTTAGTCCGAAATAGCTGCCCGAAGGCGTTGCCAAGATGGCGGCCGAGTGGCATTACTTGCCTAAAAGGAGTCAAGGACTTGGCTTACGCTACTCCTAAATCCCACGTCAGGTCAGAGGTCACTCTTCCACTGGAATTCAAATTCCGCTGCTTCTGGTGTTTTATTGGGGTTGGAGCTGAACTCTGCAGGCCAGTGGCCCTCCAGGAGTAGGAGTCTACTCTACACCCTGCCATATGGTGTCCCATTTGACATTTCTAGGTTTCAGAGGGGTGCTCACAAGCGCCCCTCCTGTTGAAGCTGCAAAGTGCACATCAAAGAAACGACTACCCGACAGTCTATGCAGAATTGTGAAGGACGACAAGGGCTTAGGGCGGCATGTGGCATAGGACCAAGAAGAACACTGTTTACACTTGCACCTGTTGTATTCTCAGTGTTGCATTCTCTGACAATTTTCATATTCTTCTACGTGCGCACGCTTGATTTAATTTGTGTTCACGTAATTGACATTGTTTCTTCTTTAAGCATTTTTACACATTTAACATTCAGTTTGGCTAAAAATGCCTTTGTCTCTTCTTGTAGGTGAGGTGTTTAGCGTGTGATCATCGCTCAAACACGATAGAGCCCTTCTGGGATCTTTCTCTGGAATTTCCGGAACGTTATCACAGCAACAGTAAGGATGCGGCACTGGTTCCATGTGGGTTGACGGAGATGCTGGCCAAGTTTACAGAGACTGAGGCTTTGGAGGGAGCCATATATGCTTGCGACCACTGCAACAGTGAGTTGGAAACACGCCAACATGTAATGTGACTGTAGGGAAACATTACAGGATAATAAATAGCCTGGAACTTGAAAGGGATATCATGGCACTCAAAAGTGAAGTGTGTTATTTCTGCAGGGGTTTTCCCCCCGCACCCCACTGCTCGTCTTCAATTGGCCAGTTAAATAGATAACCCCCTTCCCAACTCACATAATTAACTGAGCCTAAATCTCTCGTCAAGCCACGCAATATTTTGAAATCATCAGTTTTTACATTCTTCATAATGACTTTGACTAAACATTTAACTGGGATAAAATTAGAACGCACTTCACTTTTGAGTTTTACCTTAAAGGTTTAACGCTCCTCGGTCATCAAAAAGTTCTTGTTTTTCTGTCTCTTCAAGGCAAACGACGGCGATTCTGTTCAAAGCAAGTGGTCTTGACTGAAGCTCAAAAACAGTTGATGGTTCACAAACTGCCTCATGTTCTCAGACTGCACCTCAAACGCTTCAGGTATCCACACAAGCACATGAAATCCTTGATTTTCCCAAAGACAAGTCAGATGTTAACATGTACGTTTGCGTTTAGGTGGTCCGGGCGAAACCACAGGGAGAAGATTGGCGTGCACGTTCAGTTTGAGCAGGAGCTGAACATGGAACCGTACTGCTGCAAAGACTCCAGTAACTTACCCCACCCGCAACACTTCCTCTACCAACTCTCTGCTGTCGTCATGCACCATGGGAAGGGATTCGGCTCCGGCCACTACACTGCCTTTTGTTATAATACGGAAGGAGGTAAAACGTTCTTCTTTTCTTAGTCCAGTCGGTCAATCTGTTTTGCATGCAATATTTTATTTGTAAAAAGGTATGCACAGTACTTCTGTTTGACTTGTGAAAGTGTACCAGAAATGACATTACTAGTGTAAACGCATAACCAGAAGTACATCTGCATAGAAAAGTAGTCCCTTCATTAAAGGACCGTTTATAGCATTTTAAAGCTCAAAAAACACATCATAATCGCTTTATAATAAGTACATTTATGCTTTTAAATGCTCCGGAATAGACTTCCTTTGTAAGTGCATAAGCGTAAGTACAGATGCTACCAAACTTACATAATGTGTAAAATATAAATAATAATAGCTTGAATGTAACTCTACACCCTTGCTTTTAGTAAACGTGGTTCTGTGAATATGCTAAATAGCTCCCCGCCTCCACTCACTCGCACCAGCTCGGAGATCCACTCGATCAAACATTGTCGTGATTGGTTACAAGGTAGTTTGTGATGTCAGAAACACCAGCGATTTCAAACCGCGTTTTTGAGCCTGTTTTGGTTCACGGCAGTTTTAAGGAGAAAATTCCTTAAAAAAATAATGGGACAAAAAGAAATCAAGAGACATTTATAGATATAAATTGTATAAAAAAGACATTTATAGAGACAATAGAAAAAAATGTGTGATTAATCGCGAGTTAACTATGACATTAATCGCAATTAAATATTTTAATCGTTTGACAGCACTAATTTAAACTAAAACATTTAAAATGAACTTAGTCAAGGGTTTGTTTTTAGTTTTTTTGCAAGTTTAAATGAAGTTGTCAAATCTTCAGGTAGAAGTTTGTATTTTTGTCATTAATGCAACCTATTCTCTTTCTTCTCAGGGTTTTGGGTGCACTGTAACGACTCTAAACTGAGTGTGTGTGCCGTGGAGGAAGTGTGTAAGGCCCAGGCTTACATTCTCTTCTACACACAGAGAAACTCTCAGGACAAAAGCAAAGCCAGTGACCTCTGACCTCCACTGAGTAGCCAGTCAACCGCAGAGACTGTTTGTTTTGTACATTCTGTTGATATCGTTTTGAGACGGGTTAGCTTGTCTCCTTTTTCTAGTGTACAGCAAATGTGGAGAGTATGTTTTTGTCACGCACACTTTTGCCTTAAAGTTATTCAACTGACAGATTTTGGTAGGAGGCATTCATGCAGTGATTGTAGCGTTCGTTTGTGTGTACGAAGAGAGCGAGATTGTCCGAGTCGGAAGCATCAATGTCCTCATTAGTCTCTCTTGTGTTTCCCTGATTGATGTCATCAAACCAAAGTTGAGTTTTGAATGTGTTCGTAGCGTCAGTATGAAAGAAAGTGTAAGAAACGATGTTTTCTCTCTTCATATTAAAAGTGTTTTAATATCTTCAGACATATTTTTAAAGTGCCCTGCCAAGTCAAATCAGTTTAACTCTTTTCCCTGCCAGCTAAAAAAAAAAAGGAAAGAAAGTCAACACCAGGTTTTTTGATCATTTTCACAGAAGTTTCAAGGCCTTAGAATATTTTGGTGAATGTCTGAACAGGCAACATATCAAACAGAACGGAGCCTTTTCTTTTTAACAACAAAAAAACCCTTTTTATTCTAGCTTCATGCATTCACACAGTTGAATGTGGGTACGTTTCATAAAAAACGGCAACATTTTGAGCAAAAAGCTGAGAAAACCTTGTTTTTGTCAGACTACGTCAAAAAGGGATTCAGAACTATGATTAAAACAGATGAAGTGGATCGAGTCCCTCAATGCTTCATTTCGACATTTCATTCAGTAATATTAGTTTTTATTTATATGCGGTTTAATGTTGATGATCGCGTTATTTTACATATAGATATGTTATCGCTTGTTTCTGTTTCCTATTCGCCCGTGTTTTGATGACGAGAATCTTTCAGAGGATATCATAACCCTTACCGTTTAAAAGACGGGACACACCAAACGCGTCAGCCGTCAGCTTTTTTTTTTTTTTTTTTTAAATCTAAACTGAACATTTGTAAACACAAATATTTTCATATTTACATGAGCCGACTGGAAAGAAGAAAGTAATCCGCGTGAATGATATTCAAATTGGTAAGCAAGCGCTACTTTGTATATCTGCAGTTCTAGTTTGGTTGCCCATTTTGACGACGATATAATATTAATACCTGCTGATTTGTAACGAGATATTTACTTACACGCTGGCGCAGAACTCGCGATAGTCGACTTGAGTCCCTTTGGTGTGTTCAAGCTCATCTTTTTGGCCAACGACAGTCGGCTTGGTGTGTTCCGGAAAGACGGAGATGCAAAACGTGCGTTAATGGCGGGAAAAGAGTTAACTATGTTGAGACTTTAAACCAAGAGTCGATTCAGGAAGTTTTCTGTCTCCTTCTCAGAATGTAGTTTTATACCTGGTATTTGGGTAGATATTTTTTCCCATTTTACAGGAAAATGTAAAAGATTTTTTTTTTCACCAGCAAAAGACAATGTATGCTGTATACATTGCCTGTGTGTGGCGTAGATCGTTTTCTAGTTTGTACATTTTGTTGGATGTATGCGTTTGTGAGACACACACATACACACTTGCTCAAATATCTAACAGTTTCCACATCTTGTTTGTTCTTTTTTTCATCATTTGAGCAAGTATAGATGTAAAACTATGCAAATTGTTACCTCAATTCATAGAGAAATTTACCTCAATAAAAGGAGAATATTTTTGCATTTTTCTAAACAACTTGCCAACTGTTTTCTTTACCATTTTTAAGATTGTCGTGAAATTTTGGTGAAATTCTATTCATTATCTATGAAATATGTTGTCTCTTGAGATTCACAATTAAAAAAAAACTTAAAACTATTGAGAAAACTGCAGCATAACATTTACATAGTTGTTATTTAAAACCTGATATCTTGAGCAGAGTTTCCTCATCATGTCACAGCTTCTATTTGAAATTATTTTCAGTTTCAATTATTTAAGTTTGCAATAAAACGCTTAATAAAACCCACTTGATCTTAATTTCAAGAATAATGCTAAAAAATAGTTTTGCAATGATGTAAAGAACTACAAACGATTTGAAGTATTGTACAGTTTATTTTGTCTTTTTAAAAAACAAACTTAAAAATGTAATAGGTAGGCTACTAGATGAGAATGCCATTTGATATTATACAAATACCAAAAAACAAAACTGTAAAAGCTGTGCGCATTACGACTGACTACCTGATGAATTTGTTTTTCTTGCAAAAGCCCTTCAGTGACGTGTAAAGCCAAGCAGCCATACTTTACATGATCTCTTTCACTGCACAGAGCACAAAAGAGTACAAAGGTTTTGTCTTGCTCACTTAATTCGGGCACCGGCTTGTACACATGCATAGTAGTTTGCCTAACTTAAAGCTCAGTATATGCTGAACGATCAAAATAGCATTTCAGTGTTTAAACTAGTTTCTTCTTTTAAGAATGCCTGTTGTTGTTTTGTTTTTTTGCATGGGACTGGAGTGTGTTCATACATATGCAAGTCTCAGTAATCGTCTCCACGGCTCACGACTTCCTTGCACGTAGGCCTGAGCAGGATGGTGTGTTCAAACTGAGCCGTGTACGAGCCCTTGGCGTCACACAAAGGGGGGTAGGGGTCGATGATGCCCAGGTCACACAGGTTCTTCAGGGCCATCAGGTATTTGCTTTCACCCAAACGGTCGAGCCAGCGGCGGCAGAACGCCAGGGTGCTGAAGTTCTCGTTCACCACGTTTAGCAAGTGCTTTGCCCTGGGCAGCCTGAAGTTCATTAATGAAAGGTTACAATACGTTTCTTTTCATTTATTAAACTGGTTTAAAGAATAAAGCAGTTTGAACATTCTTCAAACTGTCTACTTTTTTACAGGTTTGGAATGACAGAAGAGTGAGTGAACAATAACAGAATTTTAATTTCTGGATTAACTATTACTTTATGAGCTTCAAACTTCAGTAAAATGTGCTTGTCCGTTAATATTTTACTATTGTATTTTATTTTCACTTGTGTAATGAGTGCAGCAGTTAGAAAAGGTAGACGTTTTTACCAGCGGTTCACACAATTTTCTTAAATTTTAAAATTGTGAGATATAAACTCGAAATTCTGAGAGAAAAAGTTTTTTTCCCCCTCATAATCGGACTTTACGTGCAATTGCGAGTTTACATGTAAAAATTCTGAGAAAAGACGTCGGAATTGCCAGATATAAACTCGCATTTGCCAGAGAAAAAAAACAACAACATTGCGAGAAAGTCAGAACTTCAAGACGTAAGCTCGAAATTCTACGATATAAACTCGCAATTGTGAGAAAAAGTCAGAATTTTGAGATATAAACTAGCAGTTGCGTGAAAGTCAGAATTGCGAGTTATAAACTTGCAGTTGCTCGAAAAAGTCAGAATTGTGAGATATAAACTCGCAGTTGCGCGAAAGAGTCAGAATTGTGAGATATAAACTCGCAGTTGCACGAAAAAGTCAGAAGTGTGATATATAAACTCGCACTTGCGCGAAAGTCAGAATTGCGAGATATAAACTCGCAGTTGCGCGAAAGTCAGAATTGCGAGATATAAACTCGCAGTTGCGCGAAAAAGTCAGAATTGCGAGATATAAACTTGCAGTTGCTCGAAAAAGTCAGAATTGCGAGATATAAACTCGCAGTTGCGCGAAAAAGTCATAATTGCGAGATATAAACTTGCAGTTGCTCAAAAAAGTCAGAATTGCGAGATATAAACTCGCAGTTGCGCGAAAAAGTCAGAATTGCGAGATATAAACTTGCAGTTGCTCAAAAAAGTCAAAATTGCTAGATATAAACTCGCAGTTGCGCGAAAAAGTCAGAATTGCGAGTTATAAACTCGCAGTTGTGCGAAAAAGTCAGAATTGCGAGTTATAAACTCGCAGTTGCGCAGAAAAGTCAGAATTTTGAGATATAAACTCGTAGTTGCACGAAAAAGTCAGAATTGTGAGATAAACTCGCAGTTGCGCGGAAAAGTCAGATAAAAAGTTTTTTGATAAAAAGTTACAATTACTTTGTTCTATTCAGTGAAAGAAACAAGCTTCCATACATCCCTGCACCACTTTATTTTATTTTATAACTATATATTTCAGCAGATTTTCCTCATGATGTCACAACTATTCCTTTAAGATCAGAAAGGTTTTCTGAAAGCGATCTTTCAGAACTAGTAGTGTATTTATGAATGGCTGATACCTGATAGGCACATGTCCGACATCAAAGTTCTTCATGTAATGGGAGCAGTCCATGTCATCGTGCACCACTCCTTTACCAGTGCTGCCGAACGTCTCAATAGCGAACACATCCCCCTCCTGGACGTAAATGAAAATTAACAGAGAGCCAGTCAAAATACTTCATATCTTTTTTTCAATAAAGAGGATGATGTATGTAACAAATTGCCTTTTCAGATTTTCAACAAGTTCCTGAGTTGTGATTATCAGATATCAGTTACACAGCTTGTGTAATTAGCTTTAGCATTTATGCTAGCACACAATAGTAACCAATGAGGCATTAAAATACTGGATATGAATACTGTATAAGTTTAAATTGCACATGATAATTATATACTACTGTACACAAAGTAAAATAAATAAAAGGAACATGAACCCGTAAGCAACAAAGTTTGAAACAGTAGTATACTACACTGTCACTTTGCCTTTTCCAGTTTTCATTCAGGTTTTAGAGTTCAAACAATGGCAATATGACAAGACAAATGTAAAATAAAAAAAAATTGAATGGAAAATACAGGCTATTATTTACAAGATTTATGTAATTCATAACTGAATGTGACGTTAATAACACTAATAAAAGTAGTATGCTATTCCAGACAAAGTGACACAGACATCTTCAACGACAAACACACACCTCCATTCTGGTGGCTTCTCCTCCCTTCACTATAGGCACGGTTTTACCAGCGTGTATCCGATACTGACCAATAGAGTGTCCGTTCAGATTCCGGATAGGTTTGACTGAGGAAACACACACAACATTTATTTTAGATTGAGATTAATATTAATAAGAATGTGCATGATTATTCCCCATTTCAGTCAATACCTTGGTACGTTTTCCCATCTATTTCAACCTCGTACGACTCCATCACTTCCTGTATTGATTCTCCAACATCGCAAAGACGTACATCTATACCTGCACACTGTGGAAAGAGATTGTTAATTCTGCACACACGCACGATAATTTATGGTGTCGGTCACACACACACACACACACACACACTCACATTGATGCCTGTGTCGGTAGCGTCTCTCACAGCCTCAAGCAAGCGGTCATACTTTGGATTGAAGGTGACAGTGAAGGCACAGTCAATGATCCTGCCTGAAACACACACACACACACAGTGCAGTCAATACTTTCATTAATGCCGACACTGTTCCCACCGCTTTACGAATCCTTTCTTATGATAAAAAGAAAAAAAAGCAGCTCACGACAGGTCTATATCTAACTCAGTTCACGGTCCAGCGCTCCACTCTCCAGTGAAAATATTAAATCAAATGCGTAATAATTCCTAATAGGCATTTCTCAGACAATAAGAAACATATTCAGCCAAATATATCTAAGGTTTTCTATGTACATCTGAAATTATGTTCTATTAAAACATATGATTGTATTGGTTTTTAATTAACTGTTGTATAAATCAATTTTCGATTTGATTTAATACAAATCAAACAATTATCATCATTATGAGTCATAATAATACTAATTTAATTCTTATTGTGTCAAATATTTGAATGGCTTTTAATTATTATGATTTTTAAAAAGCATATCATCATAATTTAATTATTATGGTATATCAAGTTTACATGGCTTTTAATAATATTCTATATAATATCTGACTATTATTATTAGGAGTAGTAAAAAAAAAACAACCATCATCATAATTTAATTGTTATTTTATATTAAGTACTTAGCATGGTTTTTAATTATGTCCGTTTAATTATAATAATAATAAAATCCAATCATCATAATTTAATTATTATTGTATATCAAGTACTGTATATTGTTTTTTTAATAGTGAATGTTTCATAGTAATAATAAAAATAAATATTATTATTAAAAGCCAAGCGGCAATTTCATTCGTATTTTATATTATGTACTTAGCATGGCTTTTAATAAATGTTATTGTTTCATAAATAATAAGTATAACAGCAACAACAGTAACTATTATTAATATTTAAAGCCAATTGTGAATTTAATTCTTAATTTACATTAAGTACTTTACATGGCTTTTAATTATTATGATTGTTTCATAATACTACTACTAATAATAATTATTAGTAGTAGTATTAAAAACCAATCGTCATCATTTAATTCTTATTTTATATTAATTACTTTACATTGCTTTAAATTTTTAATATTTTATAATCATCATCATAGTTTTACACAGATTTTAAATTAAGTACTTTGTGATTTATTATCAAATTTAAAATGTTGCTTTTAATTATGTTTAATAATACTATTACTTATTATTATTATCATAAAGGCAGGCTACTTTTTTTAAATCATCCATGATGGTACCGTTAATGTGCGTGCCGAAGTCGATCTTGCACACGTCGTCGTACTGGAGGACTGTGGGGTCTCCAGCGTTGGGTGTGTAGTGAGCAGCACAGTTATTCAGCGAGCAGCCCGTGGGAAACGCCAGCCCTGCGTTCAGACCGTTCTCTTTAATCAACTTCCTACTGCAGTCCTCCAAGCGCTCGCTGAACCAGAGAAAACACCGAGAAACACATGGGTTATGAGCGCTGTCGCTAATACCAAAACATCTACCAACTAAACTGGACACTTGGGCTTTAAGGTCCAAATCAACTGATATTTAAAAAAAAATTAATAATAATAATCACACTGCAGGTTTACAGATATTAATGTCCTCACCAGATGTCAATCATAGTCATTCCAGGTTTAATCCAGCTTTTCACATATTGCCGCACCTGCCGATGGGCTTCAGCCGCCTGCCGGAAATCATTCCACATCTCCTCGTTGGCTCTATCCATCATTTTCTTCTCCTCGCTGGTCGTTCTCCAAGCCGCGCTAGTGCTGAGAGGTCCAAAAAACACTTGAGATGACGTAGCGAGAACATTTATTAACCCTGAGAATATCCACCATCATGTAAACACTATTAAAGATGGACATATAAATGTTTCTTCAGGCCACTACGGACTTTCTGTCTTTCTAAGCTAGGCACTGCTAGCCTAGCTTAGCACAAAGACTGGATGTGAATGGATACAGCTAGCATCCTAATTCCAATAAGAGACATAATTACGCAGGCGTGTTTGGATCTAACGCTATATCCAGAGCAAGCAACTTAGCCATTGATTCATCAGGTCAGCGTTTTTGGTTTGAATTGTATAAAACATCATGGTATTACCCGGTCTCCCCTGTTTATTGTCGCTCTTTACATTTACATTTAGCTGACGCTTTTTATCCAAAGAGACTTACAATTGCTGCTATATATGTGAGAGGACGCATGCCTCTGGAGGAACTAGGGGTTAAGTGTCTTGCCCAGGGACACAGTGGATTCGAACCTGGGTCTCTCACACCAAAGGCATGTGTCTTATCCACTGCGCCGCCATCACCACCCCACCTTTACAATACAACGAACACCCATGATTGTAAACTAGGTAACTGTTGACTCTATTACTCCAACTCTGAACAAACTCTCTCCTCCTCACCACGGTGCGTCTCGGTGCTGCGGTTATCACTCCACCCAAGTAGCAGTGCTTCGCCTTCTGAGAATATAGTTCCCAATATCTATACGGTTATAAGATGGCTGTCTCATATGACCTTGTTATTTGTACACTCGACGACTATACAAATCACAACATGTAAATAGGATAATGTTTGCGTTATTTTGTCACTTATCTGGGATTAGTATGCTAGCTGTATCCATTTACATCCAGTCTTTGTGCTAAGCTAGGCTAGCAGTGGTTAGACAGAGTTACAGCACGCACGGAGATGAAAAAGGTATGTATGGACTTATCTAACCCAAAAAGTCGGCGTGTTCCTTTAAAATTCGTCTAATCAGGTCAAATCAGTCAATTGTAACTTATAGCTAACTGGTTTTACCTTCTCTGACAATTATGGTTAAAGTTTAGCAAAGTCAAATCAAGGCCATAAACGCCTTTATAGATGGCACGGGAATTCAGTAAGATGATGTGAGGAAGTTAAGTTTATGAGTTGGTCCTCGCGCACACACACATCGTTCACAACTATTTTTGGAGAGAGTACTTTAGGCGCGGGGGAACATGAGTGACCTCTATGTCAGTAGTCTCAGCGATATAATATTACACAGAGCACAGGGTAATACGAGGTAGAGCGGCCCGTAGAAAGTACAAGGTGACCTGAGGGTGTTTAAGAGCGTATTCACATTGAGAAAAGACAAAACATCCTTACCCATCCTGTGCTAGAGGGTATTCACACTCCTGACCCACAGGGAACACTCCGCTGGTGTACAGATCGCAAATGGGGATGGATGGAGGGTCCGTTTGGGTTTTGGCTACAGGTGAGAAGGTAGATCAATGTGAGAACAACATCTTCAGGAAGTTCGAATCGAAACCTCTTTTGTGGAAGTCGAAAGAAGATGTTTCACGCGGCTCTTTTCCACAATGATCTATTTGGATGCTATTAAACTATAATAGTACTGATAACAGTATCAATTTCAAAAACTTTTCCATTATTAGCTGAAAACTGTGTAAATGGCGTCTAGTCAAAAACAGCAGCGCAGTGTGGACGGAAGGGCAAAGCGGAGGGAAAAAGATGCGTTTTCAAACGAAAATGTATTAATGTGAACAAGGCCTCACATTCTGCTATGTATTTGCGCCTTACAATATTTGCACCAGTCTAACATGACAATGCAGATGTCTATTATTAGTGTCTATTATCATATGAACTACTTTATACTAGAGCCCGACCGATAAATGATTTCGAAGGCCGATATCGATACAAATATTTGTTGGTTTTAAAATCCGATATTCCGATATATCGGCCGATATTTTTATTTTTTTTTCAGAAATGCGCAACAAAATATTAACAGATTTCACTTACATTAGTTATTTATGAGTTTTAACGAAAATAATATGATAATGCATTTTAAAAACTTGTTTCTTTTATTGTCGCAACAGAACAGAGGAACCAAAGCTCATTAACGTTAGTGGTCTTCCACTGATGATAGTGGCATTAGCTAGCTTTGTGATTAACAGGGACTGTGTAAAGTGCCCTCTGGTGGACAAACTATACAACACCAACACTCATGACATGGTTCAAGTGTATTTAGTCCATTTTTATTTTATTTTTGAAATATTCATTTATTGGCCATTATAACTGCCGATACCGATAGTTTGGAAAATGTCTAATATCGGCCGATAATATCGGTCTGGCTCTACTTTATACTATAT